TTGCATCAAAAGAATGATTGAAAATTGCTTCCTTACGCCATCTAATGCCCAAAAAGGCTATTGGGGTAAGCACCATCTTCAAGATTTGTGCAAAAAACCACGGAGTTCTGTTCAGAGTCTCTGCCTCTGCACTCCACCTATTGTTTACAGCAACAGCAACAGTTCTCACTGCTTACTTGAAGTTCAGAAATGTGTCGACAGGTGGTGCCACATCTTAGAGAAGATTAACTACAGATATTAAAATATCTGCAGTGTACAAAGGAGTGATAGTGGTAGCTGTTATTGTGCATAGTAACTCACACTTTTATGCATACCGTAAAACTTCTTAAAGGGACACTGACAGGGTACTTATGCTCGCCGAGGTTTTTAGTTTTACGTGACATATAAGAGCTCAACTACCCAGAACAGAATTTGCGGCTCGAAATTCGGTTTCTTTCCGCCCGAAAACCGCCGATCAAGAACTGGCCGGTTCGAGTCTCGCTCACTCTCTTTTTTGTGGTCACGGTCCGTTTTCTAAGGTATCGATGCGATCACCAAATTTAATCAAAGTCGTGGGTCACTGAAGGCACACACTCGATATTAAAAATATAAAAAAATATGAAACCCATTTTTTGTGGCTTCTAAAAAGCTGTAAATACGTTGATTGAAAAAGAAAGTTCCATAGACAACAGGAAGCATTCTGTGCGTTCGTCGTTTTGCGTATCGTGAAACTCGCGGGGACGGCGATGGCAGCGGACGACGGGCGTGGGACCTCTATTTCAGAACTGTCGTTCGCGGTACCGGCGAATTCTGTCTACCGTTAAAAGAGAAATTTGGGACTGATCAAAAGAATTAATATTCATCCCGTACGACACGCCAGGCCACCAAGCCGATTTGCACGAAGGCGTCGCCGAGCCGTCGCTCCCTTCTCGTGGCTGAAGACATCGCTCGCGCAAACGTCACGCACGACGTGTCTACTTCGAGTTGAATATGCACGCGTACGATTTCTTTACTAGGTGCGAATGTCCCCAAAGCGTGGTGCTTCCCGACTTCGACCCGGGAGTGCTTTTGCTAGAGAAAAATCGACAGCAAACTTTCCAACTTACAGTTTACTGGCTGAATTATTACTAAGGAAAGAGATCCACCACAAAAGAGATGCCCTAGTAGCTTAGTGGGAAAGACGTCCGGTTCACACGCGGTAGGTCCAAATTCGATCCCCCGTGAAACTCTATTTTTTTTTTTTTCAAACATTTTTTGATGTTTACATATATTTTTCTTTTTTTTACAATCATCACTGAAGAAACAACCAAAAAAAAAATAACAAACAAATGTTGTGGACGATACTTCGCTGAATTAAATGGTATGGGATTTCCGTTTTGACACCTGCGAACTCAATGTAATCACTTTCCACAAAATGCAAGGAGCATATAAATCAGGTAGCGTCCGCTTTCCGAGGTGCCCGTATATGTTCTACAGGAATTGCAGCCAGCCATTGGTCCCGATCCTATTGATCTTTCGGAAACTCTGTCGCACAATGCCACTTTTTTTCGGATGCAGGACATGTGAGCCAGCTCTTCACGCAACATCTTGGGTGTATTATTTTCGAAGCCGATCATGGAAATTCACCACGGGCACTCACTACTCATCTCCAACTCCTAAATGTACAAAACAACTCATCTTGGAGTACAGAACAACGAGCGGAACAAACATAACTGCAAAAGAATCGCACGGCGAGTAAGTTCCCGCGCGCCGCATCGCACGCCGCATGTCGTGTCGTCTGCTACGGAGAGGAGAAAAAAAAAAAAAAAGATGCACGGTCGGGTGTAGCCACGTGACTTCCGCCACTCACACTCTTCTCTCCACTTCTCCGACCTCCGTCGGGTTTCGGTTTCGGTTTTGAGCAGTTGCGTCTTTTGGCTTTATTAAAAAAATATGCTACTCTGTTGCAAAATATTAATTGTGTAGTCCTTCGGCACCATAATGAAGCGCCTGGCAAAAAATAAAAATAATTTTTGGGGGGTGTCAGTGTCCCTTTAAGGATGCCCTCCCCCGAGAGATCGCCCATCCCGTTTTTTTCGCAAAATATCCGTAACATGAAAATTCTGAAACATTGCCCCCCCCCCCCCCCCCCTGATTCCCGTGAGATGTTGCGCGATGTCCGACGTGAATCGCATTGTAGAGGCATCAGCAGCATCAACCGAGCACTCTGCCGTACCGGTATGTCTGACAAGCGAGTTCGTAGCAGGTTCCCACATATTTTTCTGCGATCTGCGCTTGCAATATCGGTTCCTGTAACACGCGAGTTGTTACCGCATGTATATTGCATCGTGAAATGCGAATCTGCTGCGTCCGCGATCTGCGGTATCTGTGCCAGTGACATGCGAGTTTGTAGTGGATTCTCGCGTTTTTGTCCGCGATCTGCACGTGTGATATCGGTTTCCACGACCGGCAAGTTTGTAGCAGTTCGTGCATGTTTATTACACCGTGAAATTTGAATATGCTGTGTCCGCGATCTGTGGGATTTGTTCCTGTGAGATAAAAGTTTGCAGCAAGTTCCCGCGGGTTTTTCGCACCATAAAACGTGAATCTGCTGCGTCTGCAACTTGTGGTATCCTTTCCCGTGACACAGGAGTTCGTAGTGAATTCCCGCATGTTTATCGCATCGTGGAATGCGAATTTGCCGTGTCTGCAGTATCAGTTCCCATGTCACGTGGTTTTTAGCGGGTGCCCCTGTGTTTATCACTAATGTTTTTTTAGTTTTTCCTATCACATTTTCACATTGGGAATTCTTATAAGATAAGAATTATCACATTGGGAATTCTTATAAGATTTTACGGTATTCATTCTTTATTTACTCAATCACACACACAACAGCTTTGTGGTGACTGAAGTATGTTGAAAAGAGAACACACTGCACACATGAATCAACATCTATGCCTAAGCCTAAATTGACACAGGTGCAGTTACGAGTGGTGAGTTGCTCACACAAACCGAGGGCTACGGTGAGAAATATGAGGAGCCACTCTTTTTCTCGACTAGTGATGTTGACGTTAAAGTGTCCAGAGATGAATACTGGTGCATTTTTGGGACAAGCCACTGGCAAGTTTTGATCATGAAGCTCTTGGTGTCAAATTGGGATGTTTTGGGGCAAGATGTACACAGAAGTGTCGACGGCATCCTTGGGGAGGTTTCACGGCACAAGCGTCGCCACCATTGAATGTGTGCAAGTAGCGAGGTTCGAGACGCAACACGTCCCCCTTGAACTCGCTCCCTTACCCGTCGGCTTCGGCCAACATTACTAGATTATCTCAGTTGTGGAACTCCTGTGGAAGGGGGTACCCCCCTCATTCACTGCAATCCGCCTCCCATTTTTTGAAGCGCCATCTAGATTTTCGTTTCATAACAGCGTATTCTATAGAGCAGACCTTAAACGCCACCTAGACGCTGTGTTTCAAAACGTATGTATTTCATAGAATACACTGCAGTTACCATAGTAGCCGTCCGGCGCATCGAGCGATGGGAGGCGAGTCGTGGTGAGTGAGGGGGGGTACTGTTGGTGCAAGCAGCGTCTATGAGCAGCATAGGTCGGCATTTTAGAGCCCCTTCATTCACCATCACATCATGAATAAAATCACGTCTCCAAATTCATTCGCATTCACGTCACAAGGTACTCCAACCTCCCGAATTCGCAGCCCTTCACATCGCGGCGTTTAAACGCCCCAAAACTTCATCCCCTTCACATCACGGCTTTCAAACTCTGCCGAGAATTCATCCCCTTCACATCATGTTGTTCAACCGCGCCAAGAATTCATCCCCATCACATCACCGCCGCCTCCAAGTTCACGGAATCATTCACCATTACATCACCAATTCACGAAGTCATTCACCATCACCCCGAATTCATCGGAATTCACCATCACATCATGAAATAATCCGAATTCACCATCACTTCACGAAGTCATCATAATTCACCATCACGGTCAACACGAATTCACCATCACATCATGAATTCCGCATGACTCATGAAGGTTCATCCTGACTAAATTCGACTCCACGGCTGGTAGCCCTTCACGAGTTCGCAGCCACTTAAAACCAGGACCTGACTCGACAAAGGGCCACCGCGCTGCAGCGCGCACGGCTGCGCAGCGAGGCTGATGCCCAAACCGCTAAAGTGAAATGGGTCCCTGTCATTTGCGGTGAAGGATGAAAACAACCAGCAAGCAAGCACCTGCGTAACATGTTTTCCGCCTATTCTGAATTCATAACCGTACTCACTATCACATCGAGAATTAAGTACTTCCCATCACGAACTTATCAAGTTCACGAGCCACTCACATCAAATTCATTGTGTTCACCAGCCACTCACCATCATGTCACGAATTCATTGAGTCATTCATATCACAATGAATTCTTCACTTCACGAAGTCATTCACAATCACAACTCATGATGAGTTCATTCAAATTCACGAAGTCATTCACCATCACATCACGACTTCATTCAACACCACATCACGAATTCATTCAAATTCACGAAGTCATTCACCATCACATCACGACTTCATTCACCATCACATCACGACTTCATTCAACACCACATCACGAATTCATTCAAATTCACAGTAATTCACCATCACATCATGATTTTTTTCAATTTCAAGAATTCATTCAGGGCCATTCAGATTCACGCCGTGAATGTGAATGAAGGTGAATGAGCGAGTTCATGAATGAATTTGCCGAGGTATGATGAGCAGTTCCTTAACTGAGCCAATCTAATAACGTTCGCTTTGGCACCGGGCGTGCCCGCCATCTTTCGGCTGGTGGGTGAACTACTCTGATAGGATGTGGTCATGTGGTTTGATGACGTCGCAGAGCTTTCTGCCTGGTGCGATAGCAATGTCGCAAATGCCTTTGGGAAGTCCCCATAACAGCTATTGCTCTCAAACGCTGGCTAAGTGGTGCAAGCAGCTGCACGATTTTTGGGGGTTCAGCCGTACACCTCCATCCATTCATCTTTGGTGCAGAACTGGAGCCGCCAAATCTGGACGAGGATGCGTCTTTCGAGCTTCCAGCCGCGCTGAGGAGGGCGTGGTTCCCCGTGCTGGCCACCCTGGGTAGCCGGGTGCAGCTGCTGGCAGAGCGCTTGGTGCAAGTGCAGCACCCGCCCCAGCTCTTCCTGGCTGTGGCCTGGGTCGAACACCTGCTCTCTGGCACCCCACACAAGGGCACCCTCTTCCACACCGGCAAGTAGCATTGCCGTACTGTTTACTCCCTCATGTTCTTGGCCGTCGAGCTGTTGCCTTATTTTCCAGATTATGGTCCACAAGGGCACCATTCGGTTAAAAAAAAACTTCTCCCTAACATAGTCCACACATAGAAATATTCTCATACACTTTGACAAGAGCCTGCTTTATTAGCTCACAAAAAAGCTTGTATCGCACGTAAATCATTATTAATCATACTCTGTCATTCACAAAATCCGTTGCATCTTGTCATAACGAATGATCTAGAAAAACAAGACTTCATATAGTCTGCACCCGTAGATGTAGTGAGCACATGGCGTAAAATATGAACTCTAGTAAACATGTATAGTTCACATACTATGGTTCAGAAAATGTGGTACTTAGCTGTTTAAACAGCTCTATAGTTGGATACAACGTAAGAAAGACAGTGTGAGGGGGAAAAGGGCGGAAACTAGGAAAGTTGAAGTGGGGAGGGGCAACCTCCTTTTCACAATGACCTTTCTCTTGGGTGCCCTTTTCCCCCTTGCACTGCCTTTCTTATTTTGTATCTGACTATAGGTATAGTCACAAATGGGCCAGATTTTGTTCCAGTCTGGGGTTGTTCAGTTCAGCTCAGTTTAATAATCCGCAAAGGCACTTCAATGAAGTGCATTACATAAAAGGGGGTGATGTAGTACAAAAAATTAAAGGGACCATGAAATGACTTTTTTACTTTTTCCAGATAACTTTTACATTAAACCGTCAATGTTCACTGAATGCCGAACAGGCATCCGTTTTCGTCTCGGTTTATTAACTTCTACACAAAAAATTAATGAAATATCGACTTTTTCTTGACCGCAAAACAAGCCGTGACGTACGCTGTTTCCGGAACCGGAAGTTCTCTCGGCAGTAGGAGATGGGAGCGTGAGCGGCGACGAGTTGGGGTGCGCCAGTAGGTTTTACTGCGCCGATGTCACCGACGTATTTTCTGAATCGGCGCCTCTCATCGCCGCATCGCAGCTGGGTGAAATTCAATGAGATATGTTGCGCTACAGCGACAGCATGGGACTAGTCCCATACGCCGGTATGCCTGTTGGGAAGTGCAGCGAGTCTTCCGGTGAAGACTCCAGAAGTCAACCCAACTGTCATTGTTGGTAAAAGGCGGCCAGTGTCAGTCGTTTGCAAAGCGACGTAGATGGAAACAAATTGCCGCGGCGTTTTTCGCGGTCTCGGAGATGCAGGAGCGAGCCGACGTTAAAAAAAAGATACGTTTGAACTACGAGTGTCAGCAAGAGCCACGTAAATACCTGTTCACACTCGGAGCGGACGCGCGCGTTTGATGGAAGTGCTGTATTCGCGCTGTTGGTAAGCGCTTCGGGACCGATCTTGTACGATAGCAACTCGATACTGACGCGACACTCGGCAAAGAAAGGTTGGACCGGTATTGCACGTATACCTCCCACGAACTGTTACAGCTCGACAGTGACGTGCAGTCTGTCAGAATAAAAATGGCATACCAATAACAAAGTGTACATACCGTGTTACGAAGGTAATCCATACAGCGTTTATTTCAGCTCTATATCACACAAAACAAGAAGAGAGGATCGACGAGGGTCCCTTTTCGACGAGTGTTTGTCAACACTGCCTCGGAAAACAAGGGGAAGAGATTGACCTCACCTCTTAACCTAAAATTGAGGTCAGCGATCAAACTGTAATACGGGAAGGGTCCACAAGGGTAGCGCGGGCATATTCCATTCAGCACGCCAGCTGGTCGTAGGCAGACAGACGGTCTTGCGACGAAGCAACGCTGCGCTGAGTCGGAGTGCCTGCTAGGCCTATATTCTGAGGAGCGATGCTATATGCACTACGTAGTGCACTTGCTATATGCACTACGCGGAGAGCTCATGCCGCTCGGGCCACCCTTTTTCAAACTGCGTGTGTATCACTGGGGAGCTCGTTAACACAGCCCCCCCCCTGCGTTCACGCCGCTTCGCGGCGACAGTATGCGGCTGCTAATTAGAAAAGTTAACCAGTACAGTGTAGACCGCATATAACGTATGTCTCGGGAGTTGCGGAAATCCGCACTATAAGCGGTACCGCACTATAACCAAAACATCAATTTTTCAGGCCAAAATACATGCCATGAGACAACTTACCTTTGTAAAAGAATTTATTTTATGTTAGATGAAAAATAAAGCTTAGTTTGAGGAAAGCCTTTATTTCACCAGACTAGTACAGTTCTGTCTCAAGTGTGGCGCACATTTTGAAAGAAATGAGCGGCTTTTGCCTGGCGCAGCCTTTTAACGGCGTCGCGGGTTGCGGACGGACGTTGCGAGCGTTCAGGATTGCTAAGGCCCGCTTCAGACAGGGCAACTTTTCCGGCAATTTTGAGGTTGCTGGCGGGTTGTTTCCTAGCTTTCCCTAGATCGACGCGAATTGCTGAGATCGGGTCCGGCTCGAACAAGCGAGCAACTCGGAGCAATTCGAAGACGGTTGAAGCGGCTGCAGCCAATCAGAGACGCAATATTTTCAAGTGACACCCCTGTGGTGGTGATGATGACAGCTAAAGACTTAGTTCTGGTTTGAAATGGATCGTTTTCGGAAATAAACAGTTTCAGAAAAATGAGTTAGTATTCTCAACGCCGTTCAAAGATATAAGAACGCGTTTTTAGCGCGTAGCTGGGCGTCTAAATAGTGAAAGAAGAATCAATTTTAATGATGATGATGGCGAGTCGGAGCAATTCGGTTGCTGCGTGTGAACGCGGGCGGCCGGTGTTGCTGGTGTTGCGACGTCAAATTGCTGAATGAAATTGCTCCGTCTGAAGCGGGCCTAACCCTAATCACTTTTCTCCGGAGATGAAAACGCGTGAAAATTCGCATCCTTCATACGGTACGCGCCAGTAATACCTTGAACTTTAGCACACGCATGAAATGCGCCAAATAAGAAATCCGGGCGATGTTCGAGGACACAAATGCTTAGAAAGCACCACGGTAGTCGAAGTAAACAAACACGACGACACGGGCGTTTCTGCTGTCTTGAGAGTGCCGTGGTGCCGCCACGACATCGCCGCACGAGTAGGTGGATCTTCCCTTCTAGTACGTACTGGGTTATCATAGCGACACACAACAAAAATTCACAGTCAAGGATAGCGCTTTTACGCGGAAGGATGAGTTCCACCACGCCGTCTACGACGACGATCACAACCGAGGCTATGTTTGCGGATAGAAGCAGCCGGCCCGCGACCGGCATGCGACGCGCGAACACTTCTCCTCGACCTGCGATTGGTCTGTCGTTTGTTTCTTTTAGCGAGTTCGTTTCACGGCACTCGTGCCCACGCGTGCCCACTCGCAGCGTGGAACGGGTTCGTTTCGGCCGGCACTCCACGAGTGGTTGCACTCTCCGAGTTCGTTTCAGCGCTGACACCCCACGCGTGCATGCACTCGCTGCACCGAGAAAATCGGGAGTGCGCCAAAATGCAATCCCGTCATGCCTCGCTCCGGTCGAGCCGGCGAGGAGCGGGAGCAGACGACAAGGGTTCGTCTGCTACGATGTGTCGCGGAACCGAACGGGAAAAAAAGTAGATTTTCTCATAGATATCGCGTCCCGCGGGCCATGAAATCAAACGCGAGCTTGAATTGTGAGCGTCTGCTATTTCCCGAAGGAAGCAATTGACAACCCGTGATTTATTTGCAGGTTTTAAATCGCTCTGTTGCCGCACAAACGCTGAAATATACCAGTGCGTAAAGAAATGCTCAGAACAAACGCAACAGCGGCCCCCGAGATGTCTATCACCAGGGTCCATATCACAAGAGCGAATGACATTTTAGCGAACGGCGACGTTTGAGCGAATGGTCGTTTTAGCGAATAACGGGGGCGCGCGTTAACCCATCGGTCGCGCTGCGCTTTACGCCGCTTCGCGGCGACAGTCTTCGGCAACTCATTACAAAAATGTGAACCCATTTGGCCCACCCGAAAACGCCGCTTCGCGGCGTCCGACTATTCGCTAAAGTGTCGTTCGATGAAACGTGGGCGTTCGCTAAAACGTCATTCGATCAAGTGAGTGCCTCCCCTATCCCATCCGTGTGCGGGTGAAAAATTTAACATTTTTCGACAAAACTCCCCCAGCAGAAACCTCTGACTGCCCAATGAGCATCAGAGAAAGCTAAAGATGGAGAATTTATCCGAGGATTGGGCAACATCATCATGTTTAACATTTACCTACGTCAGCTAACTTACCCCGTCGTATTTTGTTCGAGAAAGCTCTCAAGCACTCGCCAAGGCTAATATCTAATCCTGACGATCCAAATCGGAAGTCCCAGTTTTGCTGGATATTCCAACAGGATAGTTTTAAGCCGTACCCTTTCAGTGGTTCACGAATAATACCATGCTCAAACGGATCAAGCTTCTGCTCGGACAGCATCATCAGTTCTCTTCAGTGCAAACGGTTATAAGAATTGAAAGATCGCAACCAGCTGCTTTGTAGACAGCTGGTTGCGGAAATTTACGCCGTCTGTAACTATCTCTACGGCAGCCGAGCTGCTTGAAGTCATCGCAACTATAAACTACAGGTTGCAGCGACCAACGTTTGTAGATAAACGTTGGTAGCGACTGCATTCTCGCATTCCCACGCATCACTCCGAACAGAAAGGCGCTAGTTTCGGTTTGAAGTCGGTACCTTTTCTACAACATAGATGGCGGCAGCGTCAGTCTTCTGCACTCGGTGCACTTGGCGAATTCGTTTGAGTCCAGTTTTCCGTGCAACACTCTGTGAGTGCGATGCATTCTGGGAGAGAACTCGAACGGTGCCAGTGCGTGTGAAACGAACTCGCTATTTGTTTCCAACGCAGTGGAGGGACGCACGCAGGTGAACGACTCGTGCGTGCATCCCTCCGTCGCTATGGCAACTGAAGCCTCTCTCTTCGCTTCTCCCTGCGTTTTCGAGCAACCTTCTTGCCCCGCGAGTGCAGCTTGTGGCTCGCGCCGTCAGCGCCGTTATCTAGTGTCGCACAGGGAAGCGAGCTCGCTGCTCCGGTCGTCGGCGCGGTCGGCGGGCTGTGCCAAAAACCGCGCTATAACCGGTATTTCCCTTCGCGCGCCTGCATTTTAAGCGGTATGTAATTACATGGAGTTCTATGGGAGGTGAACCGGTGGTTTAAAAAAACCGGGTTATACCCGGTCCTGCACTATAAGCGGTTACGTTGTAAGTGGTCTATAGACCGACACTCTGTTTACAAACAAGCCCGCGTTTGCCCACACCAGGTGTGGGCACTGCGCGTGCGCACAAACCGAATTCGGGAGGAGTGAAGCATCTGCGCATGCGCAGTGCCGTCGACAGCGCCACCGCAGCGGCGTGACGTCAGGGCCGCGTATTGGTCTATACTGTACATGCCGCTTCGCGGCGTCCAGCCGGCAACCCAAGCCCCGCTGTCCCCGATCTGCAAAGTCTGCGAAGTTTCGTCGACAACATTCGGTGTTTTTTTCTTTAGTGTTCATCACAAAAAAAAAAAAAGAATCTATCGCCAAATGCCTCAACAAAACAACGTTCAAAAAAAAAAAAAAAAAGGTAGGCTTACTTCAATTTGAACCCGCGTCCACTTGTGTACAAAGCGGACACCTAAACCCCTACGCTATGGCACCGCTTAAAAACTTGTTGGGATCATTCATTTTATACGAGACAAACGTAGTGCATATAGCAACTTCCGGCCGAGCTGCACTCCGGAGTGCATATAGCATTACTCTATTCTGAGAGCTTCGTCGGAGCGGGATTCGCGGCTGTTGTCGTTCTTCTCGGGTGTTTGTGGATCCAGCGTTCTTGTTCGTCGTGGTCTGTTTTAAGTACATTTTTTTTTTTTGCTGCTTGAAGTCGGCACGCGCTAGATGAACACGTAGAAAAATAAACGTTCAGTCAGTCAGAGTTTTGAGAGGAAGGAAACCAAAGGAAATAACCGTTCTGAAGTCGGCCCTGCCCTACTGCGCACGCGCAGTAGTTGCTTCGTTTGCCACACGATAGATGTCGCTTGGCTCTCAGCATTATCAAATTCGGCAATTTTCGCCACACATCTCTAATTATGCTACAAAATGTGGATCTGAATATTATTTAACATAACTTTTAGAAAACATTCGCCGGCTATTTATTGTTTACGATCGCGGTGCTGGTGAGGTAGGCTCTTACCCAATAGGCGACGTGGATTCGGCTGACGTGCACCGTTTCTGCAAATGCATCGTAGTGAAAAGGCAGAGCTTTCGAAGGAAAGAAGTCGCAAAAGAGTCCAGTTTTCTTTTAAAAGTTCTATAGCAAATAATTTTTTTTGGCTCCCTAGTTTTGTGTTTTTGTGTTTCTTTTCACACCTTTTAAGACGTGCGGTGGATGAAATTCGATTTTAAAATCATTTCATGGTCCCTTTAACAGCAAAGGTTGCCAAATAACAGTTTTAATAATGATGTCGCAACAACTTGAATTGCTGGGTACCACCGGCTCGTAAAGGATAATTTGCAATCTAAAACTGCTCCCGTAAAAGAATGACTTGACACAGCAGTGGCAGCCGTTTTGATGAGCCGTCACGTTGCTGCTCCGAAATTCGAACCGTATGTTGTAGGCTAGTATAAAAGATATAAAGCGCAAAGCTGATAAAGGTAGGTTGGGTGAAATTTATTGCTTCATACGAATGTGAAAGAGTGCGGGCTCTATCTCTGGCCACCCGTTGTAGTGGCTGCCGTGTCATTTCGAAAGCGTGTGCAAGATGTCCACCATTCACTTTGTCTCAGTAAGCCATTGTCCTTCCATAGACTAGCTGTGGGGAGGCTATGAGGCCCTACCCAAGTGGATTGCATGGCTAAGGACTGCCTAAAGCAGTGGACGTCAAGCTTTTCCTAATCCTCTCCCCACAGCCGTAGAGGAGAGTGTGCAGCGGCACCCACCGCGGGCGTATCTCAATGTGGACAGGCTGCTGAGGCTGGCCCTGGAGCACCCCCACAAGTACTCGGCCAAGCTGGTGCCAATGTGAGTGCTGCACAAACACCTCACCTTGTCAGCTCGAACCGTCACAATAGAGGAATTGTGTAGCGCATTTAAACAGCAGGAAGTCAGCCAGTGCCAATGGGCTTCTGGTGTCGCCGCTGTAGACGAGAAATTTAGCCAGTGCAGTACCACTGATAGCTGGGGTTTTTAACGTGCATCGCGCTGTAGTGATACATGAATGGACACCAGTACGAGGCTCATCTAGATCCAATCGGGCAGGAATGGGGATTGAACCCAGGGTCCCTGGGCTCTGCGGTGCGAGTTTTCGCTGCATGCGCTCCCAGCTCTGGTGTGCTAACATGTGCTCGGCCACCAATTCCACGAACCATTGTTATGGTTTTCTGCTAAAAGCTTTTCACGAATATTTCTCCTTGAAAAAGACATTGGCAACGAAACCATTGTACTGATACTACAAGAGGAGCCCGGTCTGTCTTTGCTATTCACTATGGGTGTGCTAAATGGCAAAACTAGAAGCACAAGCTTACAGAGGTCTTGTTCCTAGCTGACAGCATGGGCATGTGAGAGCAAGGTACTCCCTCTCCCTGCACTCTCATACGGTGCTATTACAACCTTCTAAAGGAATTTATCTGGAAAAGTACTTCATTGGGTGTCATACTTGGGAAAAACAGAGCATTGTGTTTACCACAGCGCAAGTAAGGGCCAATACTACGGGTCTTGTTGATGTTCCTTGTCATTATATATTGAGGAATACCGCTGTCTGCTAGATTTCTGTGTGGATCCCTTTGTGTAATCAAGAGCAGGGGTTCTCAAACTGGGTTCCGGGGAACACAGGGGTTCCACGAGCTGGTCTCATGGGTTCCGCAAACACCCAAATTGCAACCCCCCCCCCTCTTCCCTCCCCCACCGCAGGCTGCGCGGCAGGACCGTGCAAAGCGCTTTCATCTCACTTTGTGCTGACATCGCTATTGATATGGTGGGGATATATGGGAAGCAACAGAAGCAAAATTGCCTACAATTGTGCATCTGTTGCTTCTCGTTCGGCAAATATAGAGGGGGGGGGTGGGGTGTTCCGCGGCAGCTTTTGAGGCTTCCCGGGGTTCCGTGAGACCAAAAAGTTTGAGAACCTTTGATCAAGAGCATCCAACTTCATTTTGCCCGCCAAATGAGTGTGGATATTGCCATTTATCGTGACTGCCACATTGTGGAAGGGGAGCTGGATATTTCAGGCGTGCGCAACCTTTCCGGATGGTGGGTGCAGTTCTGAGGTGTGCATCGTGACGCAAGTCAGCAGCAAAACCAGTAGCATGACAGACCACCAATTTTATTTCTTTCAGTTGAGGAGGTGTATAAAAGACGGCACTATTTTCCTGTATGGCATGCAAGTTTTCATTGATCAATTTGCTGCTTGGCTAGCACCTTTTCAGTGCTAGTGCTGTATAGTATGTCTGCCCAGAGGCAACATACCTAGTATATGCACCGGAACTTGTGCAGAACAGTGCATTCTCTTCTAGATGCAGAAAATTTCTTTACAGCTGAAGGTAGGTGTCAAAGAGTGAATTTTTATTCAACTCTGATTATTAGTTGGGAAACTCTGAAGGTCTTTGAGCTCAACCTGGTACTTACCTCCAGTACAGTGGCAACTGAACGTACTCAAAATGGCACTGACTAAAAAACGCTAACGTAATGATCTATAAAAAAAAAAAAGAAAAAAGGAAACAATTCTGCCCTTAAAGGGGCTTTGCAAAGACGTTTTTACTGGTTTTTTTTAATTTGCACCGAACCTGAGCGCACTGAACGTAGTAACTGAATGAAACTTTTGTTTTCTCGAATTTTGCTTTATTTTAAAAGTTACAAACAAAATAACATTACAAAAACAAGCAAAAAATATACCTCCTTCATGACAGCCTTGGTCGCTTGAGTGGCCGTGAACTAGAGGAGGTGTAGTGAGTTCAGCGAGCGCTCACGGCTGCCGCACTCCATGTCGACGGGTCGAGAGGGCGCCACTAAAGCATGTTCTGGATAGGCTGTATGAAGCGGGCAGCCAGGACGGCTTGCATTGCATTTGCTGCACGATTCATTGGCCACAAACGACAGCAAACACGGGGTAAAGATGAGTTCAGAACGGGAGCTACTTCGCGCTGCCATACCGCCAAACGGCCAAAACACAAGCCAAACCTGCTCGCCGAACGCCTTTCGAACGCTCGGAACCGGTCGGATCCTCGAGCCCATATACTACCGCAGTGCCGCCGCATACATCCAAGACCTTTCTACACTCGCCGCTCGTCGGTGCCTGATCCCGCTACCCCTTTCTAGTATGCGCCGCCTTTTCCACTGCTTGGTGGCAGGTATGTCGACGGGTCATTTCTTGTTTTTGTATTTTATAAACTGCATTTGTTTCTTTTCTGATCTAAAATACTGAACAAAAACTACTTTCACAAATAATTGAAACAGTTCGCGCCACTTATATTTTGTATTTCGACTAAAAAGAAGCTTTTAGTGAATCTGACCAGTAGTAAGCCCAGGACCAAAGACTTCACATATCGCGTGCTTTCTGCACCGCGGGTCACCCCCGTAGGTGGGAAAGGTTTCCACGTTGTCCGGTTGAAATATGACGCACTGATATTTAATTACTCTTTTCGTGCCTGCTGGTTTGCCCAAACCCCAAGAGATGTGGAAGTCGCAAAAAAGGTTGACACTTAAATACGATTGCAGGGCCCCTAAAAGGGGCAAATAGTTTTGTTTGATAAAAACTCTGTTTGTATTTCTTTGACGGGAGTCTTGAACCAGATGAAGAGTTTGCTGGCCAAAGCTTGTGCATTAGATACACCCAAACTTGGAATTTTGGATTCAAACAACAGGTAATTCGACTTGACCTTCAGATAAAATATGAATGATGTTCGGAAGTTTAAAAAAGCTCAAGTGTGTTGAATGGACGTCTGCATTTTGGGAAGTATGTCTGTCCTGAATTGGCATCTGATGTCCCCGCTGTCGATGGGGAATTTGGATGGTGCAATATGACTTCTAACCTAGGGTCGTGCAATCACTGCTGCTTGCATCACACAGTAGTGGTTGTACGACCCCATGCCATTTCGATGCTTTCGCAGGTCAAGTGGGTGAGTATGTGAATAATGTATTTTTTTTTATCAATGGATTGCTTGCCTTAGCTGAGTTATCCCGATCTCGCAGATTAAAATGTGCAGGGGTGAGGATAGAATCCAGAGACGATCCCTGGATTCTGCAGCTTGATCTTTCACTGTACATACTCTGAGCTGCAGCGTGCTGATGCACTGAGCCACCGATCCTCGTAAAAACACAGATGCTTTCGAAGTTTGGATGAATAATTTGGCTCCGTTATGTTCGCCTCACCTGCGACACAGGTGCACTGCAGAAAAATGCTTTTTTTTGGACAAATTTGGTCCCGTGCACGTCAGGTTTGTAAGATGTGGTGTTCTCCCTCACTGCTTGTCTGAAGTAGGAGCTGGAGCCATCTAGGGGTACCATTTATTGAGGCAATGTTTGGCAGCTTATGCCGCCATGGCCAGGGGCGGATCCAAAGGGGGGGCGACGAGGGCGGCCGCTTCCCCCCAAACAAAGGCGACCCCCCCCCCCCCCCCCCTCCTCGGAGGGCAATTTGACATGGGTGGACCCCCGAAATAAAACCGACTACCGGCCTTCCAGGTGGTAGAAGGCTTGGTATTCAAGGACGAGGGTTCAAAGTAGGGTAGGTTGCACCCTAGCATGCACAGTTGTACTCTGAATTTGGAAAAGCACTCCGTCGCTGCAACCGAGACCGAAGTCCACGGCGGCAGTTTCAAAGCACGGCTTGGAGCCAATGAGTCTGCGCAGCGGGGCTGTCGGCGCAGTGCGGTTCTGCGGCAGCTAAAGCAAAAGGCGCAACCGCAGTCCTGTTTATGATACTTTATATTACCCTCCCCCCCCAAACAGAGTTCTAAATCCGCCCCTGTCTATGGCTGAACTTTAGCATTGTCTTGCCATGCTCTTGTGTCACACACGCTAGCACCATGCTCCCTCACGTGCATGCCGCATCGTCGCCAAAGTTTTTCAAGCATCCAAATCCTTCGGAATTAAAAACAGCGCGAAAAGACGAGGACCAGACGAAGAAGTAACACGGACGCAGCGCTGACTCACAACTGAGTTTATTGATCGCAGAATCGCAATATATACTTGGGTTGTCACGAACAAAAGAGAAGAAAGTTTGTAGTCATGTTCTATATACACGGCTTGGCCCACAACCTAAAATGCATTGCGGGCAGGTGTGACATCGACTTTTTATTCTTTGCTCCGGACAGGTTGTCAAGGTTGTGCAGAGCTGTTAACCCCTCTTTGAGGGCGGCCACGGCTTGCAGTATGAGGCATCGAGATTGCTTCGTCTCGTTTTCTGAGGGGGTGGTTTATTCTCTCCCTCTGACATATGGGAAGTGCTACGTTGGCCAGATGGGCCGCTGTCTCAATGACAGGTTAAGAGAGCACGCTTACAGTGTCTCCCCAAGCGTGTCTGGTCATCTGGGCATTCATTGCCGCGACTGTGGTTGCCTACCTGACTTCCAATGGTGTGAAGTTTTTAAGCGTCATAGGGACCAGCTTACTCATGAAATTCTGGAGGCTGTTGAGATAGCGAGGTTGGGCGCTGCATGTGTAAGCAGTCCTTCTGTGGCCCTATCAGGCAAAGAGATGAATTTTCTAGTTCCCTGACTTGCTCGTTTTTTAACACGTGCTCTGTACGGCTGTGTCATAGCGCCTTTTTTTTTTTTATTGGTGATGTATCACGTGGGCTGAATTCTTTCTTCTCTTTTGTTCGTGACAGCGCAAGTATATATTGCGATTTTGCGATCAATAAACTCAGTTGTAATAATGTAATAACAATTGTAATAATGAAAAGATATCTGGATCGGATTGCCATTCTTTATTTTTGTTTTTATGGGAAGTCCCTCATTTATTTGCTATAAATTAGGCTCGTAAGAAAAATGTGTGAATATTAATTTATAGTAGTTTAGAATATTACGCTATTCGATATATGCTTCGAGATGAACCTTAATATTCATTGATCACGGCAAGTTAGCCCCGTTAAGCGCACTTCTTACCAAGCATGGGTGCACTGCGGAGGAGCCACACCCGCAGAAGCTCACCACAATCAACATTGCGAAAAGTACAAATATTGCAGTCGTGTGCATAGAAGAAAAGTACACTTTTAAAGTGGGATGGTGCATGTGTGTGCCTTGTGTATTTATAAAGAGGCAGAAGCTTTGTAAGCATTGATAAATGCATTGCAGTAAAACTTTCAAAATTAAACTGTGGCTAATATGCAAGAGAGGGAGCCCTAACAACCAATTCATTCATCAATCATAATTTTTTTTTTTTTTTTTAATGTCGAGATTGAAGAAAGAATGTTTGCATATAGCAAGGTCTATAAATCTCCTCGATTAGGGCATCTCTATAGGCCTAATTTTATGTCAGATTTGTTGTTTAGTTCATAATCCCAATGTAGGTTTGGGACCTTTTGAGGCCACACTCGATAAATATATTTAGATTAAAATTAACTTAGCTTAAAAATGAAGGAGAGGAAGCTTGAGAACAACTTTTATGAGTTCAACTGGGTTTCCGTTTAAGCATGGTGCAACAGTAGTGAAAGGCTTCGAAGAACTATTCAATATTTGATTTGAAAATATTTGGCCAAAACCATTATTCGCTTTAAATTCACTTTAAACTCAAAATCCACTATTCATACATGCCTAAAAATGTTAGGAATTCCAAGGTTGCATTGCATTATTGCAACCTAATTTGTAGTTTTTAGAGTCTGTCGCCTACATTTTGTGGACAATATTTAATTCAAAATTAATTTTGTTCAACAAAGAATGACAAAGCCAACACTTGTCCTGGTCGTTTGTGTTTTTTTTTTTAATCCCGTAAACACTGTATTTTTAGGTTGTGTATTGGCACCTCTCTGATTTGGTAAAATTGGGCCTAATTGAGGATCACGTGCTTAACGCTGCATAAACATGTTTGCTACGGTCAAAAATGCCTTGCACATGTAAGAAGTTGGCCCAAGAGGCCGTGTTATTCGTTTACTCCATTCTGTCCCCAGTCCTCCTTGTGCTAGGGGCGTGCAAAGAACATTACAAATTTGGAGTATAAGTAGAATACTCATAATGTTCAGTTTGTATTCAGTTCAGGAATTTCCTCTTTGGCACTTTGCAAATTTTCAACTGCAGTCGAATGTTGGACGGAACAGTGGGTACTCAGACAGAAATAATTGGGGTGCCCTGCGCTCGCTTAGGCTGGCAAAGGAGCTTCCGCTGGGCCTGGAGCCAGAGAAGCTGCAGCAGCTCATGGCTCTAGTGGCCATCGAGACCATGGCCCTGACGGAAGACAACAGCGACAACGAGGACGGGGGTACGGCGTCCGACGACGACCGGTACACAGTCGAAGACTTCCAAGGTCGGTGCACTGCCTTTCTCCATTCAGCCACTGTGTGCACACCTACCGTAAAATCCCGAGATATAGCCCACCTAAAATCGAGAGAAAATTTGAGGAAAATAACGAGTGGGCTAACTTTTGGTGTGAAATCAAGAAAAGTTTAAAAAATGCTATTTTTAGGGTATGTGTTTGTCAGATTTGTTATTGCGGCGAGGGGCAATGAAACAAAGATGACTACTTCCCAGTCAGCAATGTTCGCTTATATCCTGCCATAGCTAACTAGATGCATTTACAGCAAGGTCATCATTGATCCGAACACCACAATTGCTAGGAGTGGGCTATCTTTCTGTGCTTAAAGGGACACTGACACCCCGCAAAAATTTTTTTTTATTTTTTGCCAGGCGCTTCATTATGGTGTCGGAGGACTACCCAATTAATATTTTGCAACAGAGTAGCGTATTTCTTTAATAAAGCCAAAAGACGCAACTGCTCGAAACCGAAACCGAAACCCGACGGAGGTCGGAGAAGTGGAGAGAAGAGAGTGACTGGCGGAAGTCACGTGGCTACACCCGACCGTGCGTTTTTTTTTTTTTTTTTTTCCTCCTCTCCGGTAGCAGACGCCACGACATGCGGCGTGCGATGCGGCGTGCGGGAACTGCTTGTCGTGCGATTCTTTTGCAGTTATGTTTGTTCCGCTCGTTGTTATCTACTCCGAGATGAGTTGTTTTGTACATTGAGGAGTTAGAGATGAGTAGTGAGTGCCCGTGGTGAATTTCCATGATCGGCTACGAAAAGAATAAACCCAAGATGTTGCGTGAAGAGCTGGCTCACATGTCCTGCATCCGAAAAAAAGTGGCATTGTCGAAAGATCAACGGGATCGGGACCAATGGCTGGCTGCAATTCCTGTAGAACATTTACGGGCACCTCGGAAAGCGGACGCTACCTGATTTATATGCTCCTTGCATTTTGTGGAAAGTGATTACATTGAGTTCGCAGGTGTCAAAACGGAAATCCCATACCGTTTAATTCAGCGAAGTATCGTCCACAACATTTGTTTGTTATTTTTTAGTTTGTTTCTTCAGTGATGATTGAAAAAAAAAAGAAAAAGATATGTAAACATCAGAAATTGTTTGCAAAAAAAAAAAAAAAAAAAAAATCACGGGGGATCGAACCAGGTCCTACGGCGTGTGAAGCGGACGTCTTTCCGACTGAGCTACTGGGGCATCTCGTTTCTGGTGGATCTCTTTCCTTAGTAATAATTCAGTCGGTAAACTGTAAGTTTGAAAGTTTGCTGTCGATTTTTCTCTAGCAAAAGCACTCCCGGGTCGAAGTCGGGAAGCACCACGCTTTGGGGACATTCGCACCTAGTAAAGAAATCGTACGCGTGCATATTCAACTCGAAGTAGACACGTCGTGCTTGACGTTTGCGCGAGCGTTGTCTTCAGCCACGAGAAGGGAGCGACGGCTCGGCGACGTCTTCGTGCAAATCGGCTTGGTGGCCGGGCGTGTCGTACGGGATGAATACCAATTCTTTTGATCAGTCCCAAATTTCTCTTTTAACGGTAGACAGAATTCGCCTGTACTGCGAACGACAGTTCTGAAATAGAGGTCCCACGCCCGCCGTCCGCTGCCATCGCCGTCCCCGCGAGTCCCACGATACGCTAAACGACGAACGCACAGAATGCTTCCGGTTGTCTGTGGAACTTTTTTTTTCAATCAACGTATTTACAGCTTTTTAGAAGCCACAAAAAATGGGTTTCATATTTTTTTCTATTTTTAATATTGAGTGTGTGCCTTCAGTGACCCACGACTTTGATTAAATTTGGTGGTCGCATCGATACCTTAGAAAACGGCCCGTGACCGCGAAAAAGAGAGTGAGCGAGACTCGAACCGGCCAATTCTTGATCGGCGGTTTTCGGCGGAAAGAAACCGAATTTCGAGCCGCAAATACTGTTCTAGGTAGTTGAGCCCTCATATGTCACGTACAACTAACAACCTCGGCGAGCATAAATACCCTGTCAGTGTCCCTTTAAAAGAAAATATCAAGTGAACCCAAAAATATGGGTGGGTTACCTTTCGGGGGTGGGGCATCTCTCGGGATTTCACGTAGTTAGAGAGTTGTTGTCGTCGCGAACCATGAGCGACCTTGGCCAATGACCATTGTTGCAAGGGTTTTACTGGCATGTGGCACGCCACAAAGATATCTTAAAGCCTGACGAGCAGCCAGAAAAGCGGTAACTGCCCCTCAACTTCTCCTTTCTGTTTGAGAAGGGAGTGACCCTCCTTCCTTTTTGTGGGGAGTAGCTCAGAGACCCACTCCTGTAAAGAGAGTATGACTGCGACCTACTGTAAGCTCGACCTGCATACACGAGAGTGCCAGCGTGCACCTTGTAGTACAGGCCGCGGCCGCAATGTTTCCTCACTCTAGGACTTCGCCGCGCTGCATAAAGGTTTTTTGTTTCCTAGGGTACCTGCATATCAATCGTAGGCACGCAAGACGCTGCGGCGTTATCTGGTCCTGACGTGCTATCCTTTGGGGCCTTGCGAGATCTCATCAGTCCGTGGGCCGCGTGACAGATTTCGCTAGAGGTGTCGGCTGCCAGCAAAGTGGCTCTTTATGGGTGATTTGAAAATGCGCATTATTTCGACGATGGCAGAAGAGCAGTTGGGGCTAAAAAACGCCCTTGCACTTCCGTGCTTCAAAATTGTGCTCTTTCGATCCAGACAAACATGGGAGCAATGCCGGCAATGTATCCTGCTGTAATGTGCTACTGCAACCTGCTGGTGCCACGCTACGACAGGTGTTCTCGAAAAACTGTAATCGGATATCATTAGTGGTGCGCCGTGCAGACCGTGCACTAGACAGGCAGGCTGTAAACTGTGTTTGGGTCGCAGAAAAGCCTTTTCTGAGCGCCCCCCACAGCAAAGCAAGGCACTTCATCAGCGACAGCATCTCCCGTAGGAAGCCATTCTGCGGGCAGGTCAGGATTACAGTAGGTTGTGGTATGACACTGGGAGCTGGTTTTTCCCTGGCAGGAGACGATTCTGTAGGTCAACCTTCAAAGGTGTATTGAAAGAAAATTCTAGCGCCTATTTTAGTGTCTAAATGTCTATATGTTGTGGCAACACCTCAAAGACACCAAAACTTTTGTTTAAAACGAATAAAATTATTACCAAATTGCACCTGGTGCATGTTCCCAAAGCTACTTGGATTGTCGTTACGCTCGTCCCCAAAAAGCAGCATCGCTCCGCAGAAGTAAGGTGCTGAACTCTGAGCGCGCAACGCCTTTCGAACTTGGCTCAACCGGGTTTCCCTTCTTTCTGTCGCCCATTCAACTTCTGTGGCTGGGAGAGGGAGTGAGACCGAGAGGAGGTCAGTATACACCTTTTCAAGAAACACTCGACCCCAGGGGCAACAAACTATTTTCGAGCTTAGTCACTGGGTTTGAGGCTAGACTCTCACCAGCATCCCCTCTAGCCCTATCCGAGTGGACTGTGATTTCGATAGGTGCAGTTTCAAACACTGCTGGCGGCTAAATTCTCGTGTTTTCTTGCTGTATTTTGTGTACCATGGTGTATGTATTTCCCTGAGGACATTGAGAAAGAAATCTGCCACATTTAAAAAAAACAAAAAAAACAAATAAAAAAAAGATTAAACTATTTTTGTTGGGTACACGCGCAACAGAACAAATGCAACCAAAATGTTGTCGTTTTCTTTTTTTTTTCTTTTGTGATAAGTTTTGACGGCATCGCTTGATTAGCCGCGTGTCAAACGACAAAGCAATTAGCTGTCGAAAATAATTTACAACAGAAGATAGCCGAAAGGCATGCATTTTTCACGCTCAGGAATAATGTGTTTACCGATGGATAGGGCACGGACATACAATTTAGCAAGTGTTAACATTGGAACAATATATTGTGCATACCACACAATGCAGCATTATTTAAAAATAATTTATTTGAGAAAGATCTCAAATAACACAGTCTCAAATGACGACAGTCACATCTTGACGATCGGACGGAATCCAAGATAACTTTGTTTTGGGGCACGTTTTGGGGAGAGCTTCCTTTTTTCACGCCAGCACTGAGGCAAAGGAACGGGCGCGACTGACTCCAACCAGAACTATTTTTGGCTATGACTGAAAAGAACTCTATGCAGATTACCTCTGGAAGGGTGGGAACAGTTGTCTTTGTTCGCAAAATCCCGTCGAGGGCCGTTTGTTGTCCTTCCCCTCCTTTGTTTCCCGTGAATGTCAAGCAGAAACTCTTGAATGGCAGGTACTTACCAGCCCTATTTCTCACAGTGGAAGATAACACAGAAAGGGTACACAGCAAGCATCAGAAAACTTAAGTGGACCTGCAAAAGGGGCCTGAAAACGTTGAATGCAAAACCGCAAAACATAGGTGGAGAATCGCAGTGAACGAGTTTCCACAGCCCAAAAGAGCGGCAGAAAATTTGTAGCTGATAGGAAGCGCGAGAGTTGCACCAGCCGCATCAGCTTCAGCAATATGGCGGCGGCCTAGGAGCGGTCTTTTTTTTTTTTGGAAAGGAGTATACCTAGTTTCAGGGTGCTGGTGACTCACTCCACCTCTGCTCATGTCTGCTCGTGTCACCAAACCAGTCCTTGAGCTTCTCCAACGGCTAGGTTGTAACGCGTTGACGCCACCGAGTGGCGAAACTTGTAACCACACCAGCCTCGCCGTAGCCTTGACCACGAAGGGACAAGTGACGTCACGAATGCGCCGGATCTCCCGATATACACCATGCTGTCCGACGGCTGCTGTTTAAGTGCTTGCTAGAATCGGCCGTGTGGAACGAAACATCGTGCCATCCGTTCAAAATACAAGCACATGATTGTCATTAACTGATATTGTTGATCATGTCTAACTTATCTCTGAACGTGAGAAGTATATGTATGTTTTCGTTGCAGCATCTTTTTTGCACTTGCATTTCACTGTCACCAAGTGCGTTGGGACGTCTCGTAACCGCTTCTGAGTGAACAGATTGGCCCACTGACGCCATCTGTCAAGTGGCCTTGGAACTGCCCATGACTAGACTGAAGGTGTTGTAGTATGTGCGAGATCAAATCTACGCCCTATCTATGAGAAAGGGTCGTTCGTAACGTTGTCGGAATTATTTCAACCCCATGGTGAAAGAGTGGTGCATAAAAATTTAGGAAATATATACGGATTAGAAGCATTTCAGGGCTACCCAATAGGTGGTGCCAGTGTGATCTCTCATAAGCGGTTCTTTTTTTTGGTAATCTTTTAAAGGTACTCAAATGACAGCTCGTCCTCCAAAATATTAAGATAATTTATTTGGTAGCCAAGCGTTTGTTTACCCCCCCCCCCCCCCCCGTGAATGAGTTCTAGGCCTCAGAAATCAGGGTGACGGAGTAAGTTCTGTCATCCTTATTTTCTGAAATTCTGCATAGCAGTTGATTCAGTGGGAGAGCCGTGCCAACCTAAAATGTTGTAGAATAAAAAAAATGAGCCAGTTCTTACGTTGCATAAAAAAAAAAAGTGCTAAAGAATAGGACTAGAAAGGAGAAGGAGCACTCTTGTTTTTGATGCCATTTAAAATAACGATAGTTTCCACTTGTTGCCCATGGCTATAGGAATCTATGGTTTACGGGAGGCATGCAAGCCCTGAAATGATGCTCTCTCACCAGGTTGCAGCGAAACATTGAAGGATCAACCCTCTCAAGCTTTTGAAGAGGTCTGGACTCTACCTCTGAGTAAGAGCACTTGTGTATTTTTGTCGTCTTTGCATGATAACTCAGGTTCCATGTTTTCGGTACATACCGGTAAACCCCGGAAATTAATCCCCGAGCCGGTTTCATCAAAACCGGGGAAAACCCGAAAACCCCAAATTGGAGCTCTCCGCAATTAAGAAAACCCCGGGCTTCGTGGAAAGAAATTTTTAAGTACAGCTTCATTTTGTGTTGCTCCGGAACACAGTCCACATTGAACTTGTCTGTAAGGGGGCTTCGTCCTTCCTCTTCCGGAACCACACTCATTGCCCTGTTTACTTCTTCTCTTAGCAGTACCGGCTCAATTTCCTAGTATTCTGGTCACACACGTTCCCTGGAGGTTGGGGAAACCCATGCCCATGTCCTGTTTTCTTCAACATCGGCCGCGATAAACGGCGATTTTTGGTCCGGGGGCGGAAATTGACACCAAAAGACCCCGAATCTGTGGGAAAAAATAGTCTCCCCCCCAAAAAATGCCTCCAAATTAGAAGGAAAAATGAACCCCGTGAACACGGAATAATAATAACCAGGGTCATGCAAACACTAAGCTTTGAATTTGAATAGTGTAAACTCAACACAAATTGAAACATGACATTTATTTCTGTCAGAATTGCATGTACTACATAATAAACAAACAATAGGGTATTGATTGAAGAACGGTGGCTTTGCTGGGCTTCCATAGAACTTAAGCCTTTTTCTTTCTTTACTTTTTCCTCAGGTAAGTTCGCCCTTTACAAATTTTAGAGAAAAAATGCGCCACTTGTGGGCAACGCTGCACAAAATCGTAGCGCGATAGGTTAAGAAATCAAATTTTGCGGTCGATTTAAAGAGCCTGGCCGCTATTTGAGACACCCGATATATGTGAAATTGATGTCCTCACATGCGCCCATCCCCTATCTTTCGCTGTTATCTTCAAATTTTGAGCGGACGCTTGCTCGTTATTTTACGGTGGTCTAGAGTTGGTGAGTTCAGGGCAACGTTACTAAAACACTCAGTTGGGAAACTGCCATAGAGACTGCTCTGAAAAAGTGTCCCCGATCTGTCCTCGAGCACCGAGCTAGTGGCAAACACAACGTCGCCATTTCTTCCGCAGCTGCCACTCAAGGAACTGCACGTGACGTCTATTTTGGCTTTAATCGGCCATTTTGGCGCCGAAACAGATACAGCGGAAGAGGTTACAGGGGTGCCACCCCCGTCTCCCCAGCAGACGCACCGTGTCTTGCTACCGAAGTTAAAATGCACCTAGGCCGGGACGCGCTACCTGAAAGCACCGCTGAGGCATGGTTGTATAAAAACAATATTAATTGTGCCGCAAAACCTTGCACACTAAAGATTTTAAAAACATCACGCTCCCCTCATTTTGTACTAAACTCCAATAAATTTATATAACAAGAGTCTTTTTCGTTTGTTTTTATGCAAAAACATGCTTTCTAAAAGCTCAAGGTGACCACAGTACAGACAAATGATAATGAGTGGCGCTGTTGTCGTATTTAGCTCAGTCTCGGTGGACGCGAGCGGCTCAGGTTTCGACGGCGAGTTTCCCAACTGAGTGTTTTAGTGACGTTGGTTCAGGGGAAATTCCTCCCCACTCTTTTCACTTTAGCAGAGCGGATGCTGGAGAAGAGGCGACTTCCTCTGCAGCTTTCGCTTTGCTAAAGTGGAAAGAGGTGGGAGGAGCTTACCCTGAACCCTTAACCAGCCACCGGCTATAGCAACGTGCGCACCAAGACGAACCCCTTGTCATCGTTGCGGCCACAAACGGACTGTTTCTGCGTCGGCACTTCTGCCGAACGGCTTGACGACATAACAGCTCGTCTTTCAAGCTTCACTACTCACTACTGAATGGATTGCTTCTATGGACTGTTCGAAGCGTGACAGTTGAGTTCATTTCTGCTGCCTGGGTGGAACGTCTTGTAGATCAAACTGGGAAAAACTCAGACATGTCGGGTTTCCTTAGTGGTGTCGAGGAATTTTAATAAAATATTGTGGCAAACTTGAGAGTCTGAGAACATAATATTGGTACTCGCAGTTCAAGCTGCAAAAAACTCGGACACGTCTTGTTCGCTTAGCAGTGTCGGGGAATTTCAAGAAAATAATTGTGCAAAACCTGGCAAAATCCGGGAACCTGAGGACTTTGTTTTGGTAAGACAACCTGGAAGGTAAACTGAAGTAAAAATAGAATAGACAATGGACACTTGGATGGACCTTTAGTACCTAAAGTTTCTGGACCTATTCGGAGAAATTATAAAATGCACGCGTTTATCTGTGTCTTTCGGTAAACACCTAGGACTGGATTCTGCCGAGGGCTATTGTATCCTTAGGTGGCCCCTTCCCCGTGAAAGGCAAAAAGGGTGACAAGAATGGGCAAACTCATGTTCCGATGCAGCCCAAATCGCCTGAACAAATTTTTCCATTTTGGATACTTAGCCATTTGTATTATTGTCAATGACAAGGCTGAGAACAGCCGGGAGGAGGCTCAGTTGTCCCACCTCCATCACAAGCTTCCTACCTTCGACGGACAGCCAAAGCATGGCGGAAGACATGGAGCGCTTGCTGGAGGCCAGGCATTCGAAAGACATGCCCTGCTATTCTCCGTCTGTCAGTGACCATAGAGAGGCTTTGACTCATGGATATACCGTAAAATCCCAAGAGATAGCCCTCCTAACATCAAGAGCAAATCGGCTGGAAATATGGAGTGGGCAAACTTTTGGTGTACATTCAAGAAACGTTTTAAAAAATTGCTATTTTTAGGTCGTGTTCCTTTCAGGCCTGCTATGGTGGAGAGGGGCAACGAAGCGTAGTCAGCAACGTTCGCTTATATCCCGTCATAGCAAACTAGCCGCATTTATGCCGAGGCCATTATTGATCCCAACACTACTATTACTAGAAGTGGGCTAACGTTCGGTGGTTTAAAAAAATATTCGCCTCGAGATCGAACCGCGTCGCCACCGCGCGGCCGAAATGGGAAACGCGCGAAAGCGGGGATACCGGCGTGCGTCGTCTGCTACGGGCGCACGCTCAGAAGCATGGATCTTGACGACGCAAGCCCGTTTCAGGCTGAGCTTGACATTCCTTATTAAATGTTTTATGTTTTTGTTTCCGTTTCTTCTTACTAAAGGTTGTGTTGTATCGTTCGCCATGCGTAGAAATTCAGCAAAGCGATTATTATTAAGTCGGAAGCTTCCATAATCTTAGCGTGTTGTTTTTTATACAATCGCTGGTCCCGCATATTTTGTTATCTCGCACGAACCTTGGCTTTCATGAAGCATTGAATGTTGAGTGGGCCTGTGGTTTGATTAGAAAATTAACCCGACTGATCGCTATCCCCTGTAATAGACTAATCAATCAATAAATCCATATGTTGATTTTTCGCCGGTCACATTGCGCGAAAGACGTTGAAACTAAACATTTTTCTACTGGTTTTACTATGTCATAAATGGCATATTGCATTCCCATTATAAACTTCACGTTGTGAGTCCTACATAAATATGAACACGGGAAGCCTATTAAAATGAAGTATTTTTTAAGTTATTATTTAAACAGTATAATCCCCCTCGGCGAAATGACAAGCACGCTGAAGTGGTTTACCGTGCAAGCCTGTGTCACAAAAGAAGTAAAGACGTCAAAAATATTAAAGCGGGCATATTTTACTCCTTGTTGACTTTCTCCAGCACAAGACTCCAATTAACCGGCAGAAAAAAAAATTGCAATTAAAGCATTACTTGAATAATTTGAAAGTTAATCGACGAACTGCCTAGTCCCGATATACGTTAGGTGAGGGCAGAGGGTGATCGGAAAGTCTCGTGAAGGTCGCTAGCCCTCATCAGTAAAAGAGTATCACTGCGGCCGATGTTGTCTGTGTCGTGGTGCGCGTTGTTTGTTTTGGGTTGCAACTCTACCGTGTTTGAATACAAGATTATTTAGCCAGAAATTTATAGTATTACCTCTTGACATCCTCGGCCCTCAGCAAGAAAATTGAAGCGGGTGAACCCACACTACCGAGAAAAGCATTTAATAATAGGAACATTGCTGCGTTGCTCGGTTACACTCGTTTATTACAGTCACGGCAGATATATTAGAACAGTTTGTTTCACTTGTTTCAGTTGTCCTGCCTACTGTGCAGTTTGCAGATTTTGACTAGAAGAGGCACTCTCTCCTCATCGCAACGCAGTAGATTTGTTCAGACTCAAAAAAACTTATTCACACTATGGCACAATGAAAGGGCAGAGGAACTCAATAGCATGGTAATTTCCAATACAGCGCTAACTTATTTTCATTCTAAATATTTATATTACTGCAAAAGCTAGACGTTAAAAAAAGTATAGAAGCTGCGATTTCACAACCCACAGTACCAGTATTATGTTATCTGGGTTGGAATTTATTCTTTTTTTTTTTTAATTCCCACGTTGATGAACCGATACATCCATTTTAAAAAAAACAAATATTTAACATATATATTCCAGTTCAGCCGGAGACAGGCATCAGTCGGGGTGATCCATGCTTTCCAACGTCTGCCTAGAGCAGACGACGCACCCACAGAAGTGATTATATAAATTTAGGCCGCACGCTGGCAACACGATTCGATCTTCACTAAAGCACCGAACAGTACTGGATCCTTTTCCGCTAGAATTGTTTTCCCACCGATAGTATGCGACAAAATAAACGCAAGAATCTACGCCGTCTCGCGCGCGACCGTGGAGAGCCTATGGGGCGGCCGTTCTCCTATCCCCGCTTTGATGATGATGATAGCGCGACCGTAGCGCCACCTCTAGGTCGATCTCGAGGCCAATAGCGAATCAAGCTAAAAATAGGGGTGGGCTATCCTTCGGGGGTGGGGCATCTCTCGGGATTTTACGGTACATCCAAGAATGGCTTAGATATGCTTAAGTAGTGCCTAAACCGGAAGAACACTTTTTCTTACTTAAGGCTGGTTCACACAGCACCGTTTCCTTATGCTTTCTTACGTCACGTGTTAGCCACCGCAACATTTCTGTCTCGAATGTCGAGTGCCAGGCTACTTCCTCGAACTAGTAGCCACGCTTAATGTGAAGCGCAGATGTCCCGGTGACTTGAGCGTAAGCTTTCGTAGCGTAACGTAAGAAAATGGGGTTGTGTGAACCACCCGTTAGGGGCAAGGACAGTCGAGGAAATTCGGGAGCTCGGACAACCGACGATGGGGAACTTCTGGGTTTGTGCGAACCCAGTTTGAGAATCCACGTTCATTTTAGCCTCGGCCAGCGACAACACGAAACACAGACACACTTTGGACTTTCTTCCCCGTGAGCATCCACGCTCTTCATTTGTGAGCGCTTGTGTCGAGCGCGACTGCATCAAGCTTTCCCGCCAGGAAACATGCCTTGGGAGAGCACACCCATCGGAGCGCTGCCCCACGGCTCCAGCCCGAGCTTGGACCTTGACTTCACGGAGCTCAGACCACTGGGAGGATCATTTCCGGCAGAAGAGACCCAAAGGTGGGGGCTGAATCTTCTCTTCAGTTTGACGCGAGGTTGAACTTCGAGGGGTAATTGTCCTAGTCAACAATTTCTTGAGCGCTGGAAAAAAATAACCTTGAAGGGACACAGAGTGGATTTTGAGATCGCCTTTGTATGGTGCAAACTGAACCTACGGGCCCAAGCATTCCTTAAGACCAAGGGTAACAATCATTTGTGGCCTTAGATCTCGGAAAAAGGTGGCACGTCCCAATGTTTGGTGTTGTTCAAATGGAAATAGGCCTCACATAATTGTTATTTTGGGTTTCCTAGGATGCTTAAGACGAAGGGGTGTGTTGTAATGTTCGTTTGCCTTTTTAAAAGAGAAAAGGGCCACTCATTATTGTTATTTTTGGTTTTCTAGGATGCTTAGGGCACATAGTCTGTGCCATAAAAAGATAATCTCAAAATCCACTTTAGTGCAAGACTGCAGCACTACACTGTATATATGTAAATAACTTGGCAAAGGATGAAAGCTACAGCCAACCTTGAGCCAGTTGCAGCGACTAGGAAATGCACATGACAGCTCTCCGCAAAAGAAGGGAACTCCTACGGTATGTTGTCACGTGCCTCGCTCCAATTCTCCACCGTTTGCAAAGTTATGCTGAAACTAAGTATAGAAGTTGTTCATTGCCAGCATTGTGCATAACATTATCCTTCATCTCACCCTATGATGACCTACAACCGAAGCTAAAGGCTGCCAGATCCAATCACGAGCTAGTTGCCAATCACATTGTGTATTGCTCCGACATGTGTATTAGTCCAGATGTCTCGAGGTGCTAAAGGCCTGTTAACATACTTGCATTTGACTCCCACGGGCTGAGACAAGACCAGTTTTTAAGCCTCTTGGGACAGCTAACGACCGGATGTGCAGCAATGCATCAGTGCATTGCATCACATCAGTGCAATACAAGGTCTTAAAGTGATTTAGGACACAGCTTAGCTGCCTGTAGCTTTGGCCGTCATCCATCGTTGGGTAAAACAAAGCATCAGTGATCTGTAAAAAAAACTTTTTTTTTAATCACTTTGTTTAAATTTTATTTCCACATTCTTTATTATTTGCAAGGACTCTAAGCTTTTTTTCTTTCTTGTAGCTACTTTATATAAGTCAGGATAGTGAATCAATGAAAATCCCGAGATCTGCATTTTTACGTACTCAAGAGATAGCCCACCCAGGCTTTGGCTTCCTATAAGGACAAGAATGTACTTGAATTGGTAGCAACCAAACATGTTGAAACCGAAAACTTCAGGAAAAAAGGGCAGGTGACAGGAGTGCAGACAACATGAAAACAATCCCCAACATAGTCGAAATATGTTATGCATAGAGGTCGCGTGGCATCAAAGGCAGAGTTGTGTGTTGCACTGCTGTCCTTTAAATCAAAATGTTTCTGCTGCATCAGAAACTGTCATCCACATTCCTGTCACATTTCACCCAAGTTCATGATTTCAAGATGTTTGGTTACCACCAGCTTTTCTGGCACGGTAAGAGTTAAGCCATAGACCTCCTCAAGGTGATTCAAGTTCCATTTAGGAAAGGTTATTCCCAGAGATATTAGGGCTTTTGTGAGGTCTCATAAGGCAAGCGGCAAAAATTATCACCTCACCAGATCAAACGGCGACAACATGGAGGCCTTCGACGAGGATGGAGAGAATTCGGAGGCCCAGGTGCAACAGAAGCTGCTGGATTTCACCAGCCACAATGTGCAGCTCTTTGGGGTGTGACTCCACCGATACTGCACGCTGGATATATATGTAGGTAGCACAGAGGAAAGACACCAAAGGAATGAGAACAGGTTGTCTCGCTCTCTCCTCGTCCTTTTCATGTCCTTCCCATGTTGTTACAAACATAATCTCGCAGAATAGAAGGGGTAACGGTCAACCTTTTTGTTCAAGGAAAAATTGGGGAACAGTAAGGCCCTTGGCCCTCAGTTTCCAAATTCAGGAGTTTTGTTCGAAATAAAGCATGTGTACTTGACCCCCCTTTATCAAATTGTCTCCCCTTTTCCTTTGTGTTGTTTAAAAAGAGGGGGAAGGAACTTTGATGCAAAGTAGAGGAGGATGTAATCCACATTGGGGGCAAAAGGGACATTTAAAGGGAAACTGAATTGGTTTTCTACTTGGTTTTTTTGTGGCGATATATCCATCTACACCCTTTAAGGTCCTGTAGTGTCTGGGGGTTGCTTCAGACTCGAAGTTAAACTGCTTTGGAATGGCTGGTTAGAACTTTTTATTTTGTTAAGATAGGGCCTAAGACGAGGACCAGTCTTTGTAGTCTGGTGCTGTTCTGTTGTGAAGTCACCTCGCGGTGACGTGAACTGGTGAAATCGCAAGTCAATACAGCAACCAAACGAGAGAGCAGTATCTGCGGTGCGATGGCGAGCCATGAGGTTATTGTTCAATGTTACGCAACCTGGATATTGCGCGGAACTGATGCGATCGAGTCCAGCGCAGAAATGTTTAAATGTTCTGTCAAGAGCCACTATGTTGGTGTGTGCGTGACTAGTCCTAAAAAAAGTTAAATTAACATCATGCATGGCCTTCATCTCAATTAAAAATGTGACCAAACATTGCAACATCCCCTCTTTTCTTAGAACGAGGGGCATGTCTCACCCTTGTTCAGAAAAGGGGGGCATATGGGAAAAAAATATCTAGAAAGAAAACTATGTAGGGCCCATGCACCAGATGACAGTGCTGGCTGCATCCTTGTCCACTCCTTTACCTCATGTTTTATAAAAAAAAAAAAATGTGGCTCTCCGCATTAACAAGTGCGAACCAACTGGCTCAACAAATGCGCGCAATGAAACCACGCCAGTTCAGAGAGACTGATGGCACTGCATGAAGGTGATAACCTTAACTTAGTCATGAAAGAATACAAACACTGCTATCTACAATCATGGAAAGCAGAGACAGAAGCTTTTCAGTTGGAATTACATGTCTATTCAGTTGCAGATTTTTTTCTGTTGGATGCATTTCGCTATTTGAAATGTCAATCCCTGTTTGTCGAAGTCCCGCCGCAAAGTTTGGTTCAACCCAATTTCAGATGAGCTTTTTTTCTAGGGCTTTCCATTCTACACCTGCTGTTCCCCGCATCTCGTTTTCGACCAATAGGAGAAAAAAAAAAGTGAGGCTCTTCATACACGCAAATAGACAGTTGGCTTCCAAACTCTGATAAACACCAAGAGTTGCGGCTCTTGATTCCCGGTTCTAAATGAATCCCGGTTCTAAATGAATCTCTTCATGGATTGACTGGGAGCGAAGAACAGTCATGGCAAGGAGCATTTTCTGTACCGCTTCATGTGCACACAGCAATGGTTAAATTGTTGAGGATTGTCAGTTCAATCACCCAATTGCATGCCCCTTTTCAACATTACAACCTCCACTTGTAGATTTCACTTACTTCACTGTGATAAGCTTGCAGACCTGCAACTGCTACAGTGTCCTCTTGCTACCCAAACACAGTAGTATCCTGAGACATAGCCCACCTAAAATCGCGAGAAAATTCGGTGAAAATAAGGATTGGACTAACTTTTGGTGTGCGGTCAAGAAAAGTTGAAAAAAAATGCTATTTTTAGACTATATGCCAAACTTGTTATCGCGGCCGGGGGGCAATGAAGCAAAGGTGGCTTTTCTTACCAGTCAGCAATGTTCACTTGTATCCTGCCATAGCCGACTAGACGCATTTACGCCGAGGTCATCATTGATCCGAACATTATGATTACTAGGAGTGGGCTATCTTTCGGTGAAAATTTTCCTGCCATCAAGCCAAAAATAGGGGTGGGTTACCTTTCGGATGTGAGGCATCTCTCGGGATTTTACGGTACTGCAAGATTTATTACTTTCGTGGCCCCAAATATTTGCAGAAATCGGTCTAGCGGACATATCTGCAACCCCCGATGTTTGCAAGCTTCAGGAAACTTAAAACTTTCTTGTTGTGGCAATAATTGTTGCCTGCACTTAAGTTTCTGGACTCTGATTGTTTGCAACGCCTGTGAAAGGGAAGTGCTAAAAGAAAATCGAGGGTCAAGAATATACGCAAGACACGGATGCTCCGGCATTTGCCCGAATCGTCACGAGATTTTCTATTTGAGGCACTTGGGACTACCGCCGGGGTGAAAAAGGGAGACCAAAGCAAACATAAATAAAAAAGATGGAACATTTATTACAAGTCTGGAGAAGTGACACACATTAAATACTCGCATCCGAAAAAAAAAAAAAAAGTATGTAATGTGTATGTTAATAAAAACAGTTTTGTATGTGTGTGTGTGTGTGTGTGTGTAACAAAAAAGAATGTAAGAACTGGAGGGCATTAAAAACCCAATACGATACGTGACAATACATGGTATTGTAACAAGGTTAGTGCTTAGGCAAAAACTGCTCTCCTGAAAAGACCCGCTGTCCATAATTTAAGTGTCTCACTCTACAACGCACATGAGGAAGGGAAAACAAAAACAAAACAGGGGGGAGGGGGAGGGCCTGCAAAGAAGATAACAGCGTTGTCAAAACAACGTACTTTTCGTCTCTCGGCCACACGAGGGCGACTCGAAAGCAGACGTTACAAGAAAGAAAAAACAGAGCTTGTTCTGTACAATGCCACTTGATTCTGGCTAACAAAAGAGACAAACCCGCCGGCATTGTGTTACATGAGGCATTGGGCATATTGTCAACCTTTCCGCTCCTCCTCTTGGGCGGCAACACCTTCGCAACCGCCGAAAGGAAACCTTTCCAACGTTCGACTTAAACGCCGGCCGACCTAACCTCCGTCGACACGTGTCGTCAACATCAATAATACATACCGCGTGGTACCAGCCTCCAGGGAATGCGCGCTTCTGCGTTGCACAATGGCGACAGAGCAAACGCTGACAACCAGTGTCAGGCGCAAGTGCTCCAAACACAAGCAACATGTGAAGAAAAAAAAAAGGCAAAATAAATAAATGCGGGTCGGCGCGACTGCCTCCTCTTTTATGGCATGTTAGTAACTGGCGAGTGATTCTCAAGGCATCCTCCTTTCGCGTCCGGGCCAATCGCCAACTCCTCTCTGAACGACAGAGGACCGGAGGATGGCACGACACCAACATTGGCCGCTCACCAGAGCCACTGGATAAGCTACGCTTCGAAGTAAGGACGCTTTGGCCGTCTTGGTGCTTAAAATAATTGTTGCTTCGTCCGAAATCGCAAGAAAGGCTTTTCTCTTTTTCGTTATCCGCTAATGTTAAAACGGGGGGGGGGGAGCGGCAGGATTCAGGGTCGAAAGAATGACGGTGATGGCGCATTCCGGTTAGGGGTGGTGGATCCTTTCGTCTTGATTGCTGCCCCATTCCGCGACGGTTTACGAAAAGACACATTCGAAAAAGAGGCACGCTTAGTGTCCGTGCGTCCTTCCGAAACTGGTTTTATTCGAGTAAAACGAGCCGTAGGAGAGCGTCCTCGACGGAGCCAGAGTTGGCCTCCCAGAGGCCGGGCTGTGCGCGGGGCGATTTCGTCTGTTGAGACGAGTAAAAAAACGACGAGGGGAGGTGGACAGTTTTCCTGAGGCTCGTAGAAAAGCTACTTCCGCAACCGGCCGGACAAATTGCTTTGTTCCGAGCACGGTGCTCTGCCGTCTACTTTGTCTACACCAACAGTAAAAAAAGGTGCGGTAAAAAGCGCTCTGTGAAAACACTCGTCGGCCAATGGCACGGTGCAAACCCGTCCCGAGAAAAACATGGCAAACAAGCTCCCGGATTCTTCTTCTTTTTTTTCTTTGTCACGTTAGTCGGCTTATCGGGCGACGTGGCCACACCAAAAAGAGGTTGTGGTATATCTGGTATATCCAAAACAAGGGCAGCTGTCGGTCGTCCGGCCGCACACATCCATACGTGGGAAACGCGGCCAAGCGAGATCCCAGTGTTCGTGGCATTCTCGTATCACAATCGCAACAAAGAACCGTTGTGCCGAGACAGAAGCACGCGCGGTAGTTTGTAAAACTCTGAATTTGTTCGCTCTCTTTTGCGTCGTTATGGCGCATTATGGCCGACTGCCCGTTGCTACACCCGAGTGTGGAGGTTATAGACAACAGAAACACGATTTGAGGTACACAACATTGTGGAGCAAGGTTGCTTCTCTCTACGAGTTGCGAGGCACCTCCTTCTATGTCTCGTGAAAGAACTGGACGCAAAACAACTCCTGCGCAGGCTTTCGGTATGTTCCAAACCTCATTTTGTTTGTTCTTCGTCCCCAAAGCTGTCGCGGAACGTAGAAAATGTGCGCCGCCAACGTCCGAGACAAACGCCTCGAAATGTTCGCGCCCAAACAGGTGTAAAACGGTGTGCACGTCGTAACACATACAGACATTTCAAATTGCTTCGGAGCAGTGTCGGTAGAAAGCGATACAAGAGGCAACACTTGAACATCCTCCAGGCAGTGCGGCAACTACGAGTGTACTGTACATCCTAACGAGACGAGCCTGGCCGAACGCCGACCGAGTTCAGTCGCTCTCCTTTAAAATTGCATTTGGAGGGTGTTGGGCTAACACCCCGACACACGCGCACTTGAAACACAGACAATGTCGCAGAAACGAGTTCTTTGTAGAAAAAAAACAGTGGCACACACTTTGAAAATTTTTTTAAAGAAAGGTGGTAAACACCTCAAAACGTGCTCCCAAAGAGCGGTTCCAGCTGCCCCGACTTCCTCGACGGTGGCAGCGCGGTACAAAAAGGGAACTGGGGCCATCCTCGAAACACCCTGCACCTCGTCTCGCCTCCGACGGAGTGCCGGTGACGAGGCGTGCGCCCGTCAAAGTCCCGACCGAGCCCGCACGCTCGGACACGAGTGCCCTCCCAAACCGCGCTCGCGGGGTGCCACTCCCGCTTTCTCGTTCCCAAGAGACGTAACAAAAGAGCGGTTCGGCGTCGAGAACAAAAGGCGATCCCGCGCGATGTCTTCGAGCCCGCGTCGTTGTCCTCATTCGAAAGTTGCACTCTTCCCTTCCGAGTGATCCTCGGCTCTCTTCAGTGCTCGTGTGAGCGCCCTCTTGAGGACGTTGCCGGTTGTTTGCGACCTTACAAGGCGAGCCCCTGGGCTTTCTGGACCGTTGCGGAGAAGTGGCTCATTCGTCCGGTGAAACCGGGAGCTCCGGCGGAGGACGGCTACCCCTTCGGGAACATGGTGAGGATGGCGGCGCACACCTTCTGCGGGTTGGTCTCCTCTGGGTAGAGGTCCATGGCGGCCCGGACCTGCTCCTCCGGGAAGATGGAGGACAGGTGGTAGTAGAGGCGGTAGCGGGGGCTGGCCTCTGCCGGGACCTCGCAGGGGGGGGGTGCCAGGGGCAGACCCAGCCAGCCGGGTCCGGGGGGCGCCGGGTAGGCCGGGTAAGCCAGCTGCGACACCGCGCCTCGGGCACCCTGTGGGAGGGCGTCCAACCTGGAGGGAAAGGAGGGCATCGGTTCATCTGGGGACTTCCAAGGCCCAGTTACTTCAGGGATGACCGAATAATCCGCGAAAGAAAAACATTTTTATATATTTTTATACATTTTCTTCTTGTCGTTTTTCTTTTGCGTCTTACTTTTGCGTTTTACGTTTTTACCAAGCTACTCTACATTCAAATTATTTTAGTCCAACTGACATTACTATATACTCTGTTCTGCTCGAAGTGCAAGCAAATTGAAGCTACAAGCATGACGAAGTAGTCTCAAACAGTGCTTTCACTCTGCAAGTGCACATTCATAGAATGCACATTTAAATCGTGGCCTTTCGGTTTAGCAGCTTATGGTTCGTTCACACTTGCAGTAAAATGGAGTTGGAAAATTTTCAACATGCTAGTACTGCAGAAATACTCCCTGAATTAACTCCCCCAAAATCGGATGGGTAGGCGAGACTCCCTCACTCGCAAAACGTTTTCTTTCATCGTAAACGTGCAGATGAGGTGCACATGCGATAGAAGGAGGCGGATGTGCACTGTGCCACACAAGTAGCGCTTTTTTGCACTTTGCTCCAGCGGAGTTAGCTTTGAGTTAAAAGCTGGCATACAACTTGGTTTTCTGCAAGGAAGGTAATCCTCTTAGCAGTTCCCTCTCCTAAGCTGCAAGGGGAGCCAATTTGGGATAAGGTAAAAAGTGGATGATATAGGAAAGGAAGAGGCCGGCAAAAGTGGGAAGAGCGAAGTGTATGTCTGCCTGCAAGAGAGTTTCCAAAACACGCTTTTATGTAGGGATCAACATCTCGAAATAGAAACGACTTTTGAAATCTCTTGTAACTCAAAATGAGTCCCGAAATATTGCACAAAAACAATTTCTTTTTTCAGGAGATGTTTGTTTCGTGACATGCTTTGTGACATACTCGGGCACTTAAAAAATGTTTCTTGGAAGTTTGGTGTCCCTTTAAAGGACTGTCAATTTCTTCTTTGCTGCAGACAACACCTCATAGAGTGAATCGGATGTGTTTGATCCGCCATCCTCTGGCAGAGGAACCTCTAGTGGGATCAAACGCCCCTTGATGCATCGGTGTTGGTCTTACAAGTAGCCCCAAATGTCCTAGTGCACGAGGCACCAGCCTCGTGCTGCCCTTGGGAGAAAATGGCAGCACTCGCTCGTGGCACAGGTCTCGTGTTCGCGCAACAATGATCGTCGGCGTTTGCAAGAAACATGACGCGTGAATTTTACCAAAGGGCTTTAGTTGCTCAAGGGTCGCCCGCTCACCTGGTGTCGGAGCTGCTGCAGAGCCTCTGCATGCGCAGCTGGGAGCGCTGCCGGGTGGAGTCGGGTGCGCTGGCGATCCGTGTCACCTCAGGGTGTGGGTGCGAGGAGGCCAGAGGAGCCCCCAGGCCCCAGGCGCCACCCCCCTGGGCGGCCCCAAAGAGCCCCGAGTCGCTGCTTAGGCGCCCCAGGGCCCGGTGCTGCAGGTTCTCCTGGCTGCCTGCCCTGCACAACACCAACCGGGGACTCCTTCGTTTATTTTTTCCGTTTAACCCACAGCGCCCAAAGGGTGTCGTTGCGGGGAGTTTTAAAGGTAGATGATTGTTTGACAGGAAATATGCTCTGTGCATACAGACAAATATGGAGAAGCATTCCTACAGGCTACTAAAAGTACCGTATGACCGCCTGCCCCCAAAAGATCACCCATCCTATTTTATGGCTGAATACTCAACAAAAATTGCATAACAATGCCCCCCCCCCCCCCCCCCCCCCCCCATGATTCCCGCCGGATATCAATCGCACGATGTCCGACGGGAATAAAATCAACCGCGCAAGCTGCAGTATCGGTATGTGTGACAAGCAGGTTCGCTGTGGGTTCCCACGTGTTTATCGCACCGTGACGCACAAATGTGCTGCGTCCACAATATTCATTATCGTTGACATACAAGTTTGTATAGTTTGTTGCAACTCAAGAAGGTAGGGCGAGGGTAAGACGGGCCGGGGAGGAGGAAGGAGACGGAACGCTAAAGAGAGAGGTAGGTTTTCTCCTCTCTTCTCCAGCGTTCCGTGTACTTCCTCCTTCCCGGCCCGTCGTATCCTCGCCCCACCTTCTTGAGTTGCAACAAACTATAGCTCTTTCCCACATTTTTTTTTTTTTCTTCTTTTGTTCGCAATGTGCGGTCACAATATTGGTTCCGTGCTATGCGAGTTTGTAGCGGTTTACCGTGTTTATTGCGTGTTCCGTGGTACGAGAGTTTGTAGCAGTTTACCGTTTATCGCACCATGAAACACAAATCTGCTGCGTCCGCCATCTGCGGTGTCTGTTCGTAGCAGGTTCTCGCATGTGTATCGTACTGCAAAGCACGAATGTGCTGCGGTATCTATTTGCGTGGCAGACAAGTTCGTAGTGAATTCTCGCATACTTACCACACCGTGGAATGCTAATTTGCCGTACCCAGTCTGTAGTATCAGTTTCCATTTCACATAGTAGTGGCGGCCCGCCCCCGCTCCTGCCCCCCCCCCTCGTTCTAGCGCATTCGACAAGTGCAATGGAGACAAAGGCTGCTAGCTTTAGGTTTACTCACTATTCATTCCAACCAGAGCTCGGCATTCTGACGTCCCCTCACACTCTCGTCTTCCTCAGTTTCCCGGCACATTGCTTCCCCACAGTGCGCAGGTGCTCGGTAAGAAGTGCACTCAATGGGGCTAACCTGCCGCGATTATGAGAAAATGTGTTACGCAGCGATGTAATGACAGCTTGTGTTTATCATTCATGCTTGTTTTATTTTTTGGCAGACTTTGTATCGAAGAAAGAATATTTGCATATAGCGAGCAGATTTAGAAATCTCCTCGATTAGGATAGCTGCTTCAAATTTAGTGTTGACATGCCACAGTTTATTAATATAAATAGTTGCATTAAAATTAACCGAGCTTAGAAAAGGACAAGTGGAAGCTCAGGAGCGACGTTCACGAGTTCATCTGGGCTTTCGTTAAAGCGTGCTCCAGTAGCGAAACGCCTAGAAAAACTGCTTGGATACTCTATTCCAAAATATTCAACCAAAACCACTATTTGCTTAGAACTCAAAATCCACTATTTGCACGTGACTAGTATGTACACATCCCATCCCCTTTGAAGCCCCACCTATGTTTAGTCCCTGCCTCGACGTGAGAGACCAAGGTGGTTCTGCCATGCAAAAGGTGCCGCGACTGGCAACCGAAACCGACCTGTGGATGGGACCCGTGTCCGTGGGTGCTGACAGGAGGTGGGGCTGCTGGCCGGAGGCCATGCGCAGGTGGTAGAGCCGAGGGTCACACGAGGGGTTGAGCGTGAGCTGGCGCTGCAGCTTGCGGTGCAGGTTGGAGCCCAGCGTCTCCTCCGGCCCGGCACCGCCACCGGCACCGCCCCCCAGCACGGGGCTCCTGCACAACACACGCACGTTGCAGGTGACGTAATGAGGCACACGATCACCACGTCGTTGTTCACAAAACAAGCTTGGTTGCACTAACGAGCTGTGGGAACTGTATATGTGCAGGAGCCTGCTTTTCTAAGAGTCCCTGGACATTCCCCACAGAGCGATTCAAGCCACTGCTTTGGCGTGACGAGAGTTACACGACCTGGACTTCTCCGAGTCCTGGAAATGAGGATCACCGGAGCAATGCGAACAATAACCCCCACCTACTTTCGAGTTATTCGTATCCAAGTCACGAAGCACAGGACCCTAAATTAAGGCTTTGTTCGTGTTAGTTCATGTTGTTTGTAATGATGTCACAAACGAAAAATGGTAAATGCATGTAAAATTTAAAATTAATGTGTAACGAGGCAAACTTATGCCTATAAAACTAAAGAATAAAATATCACGCATTTTGCATCGGAAGGGCGACTACCTCGAAGAAGCGCATTACTGCTGCTTTTATACATAAATGACATTCAGGAATGACGGCAGCTGAGAATGGGTTGGAACTTTCCACGAGAGTACACGTTAATGAAATAAAGATCCAAGCCCAGCAAGGTTTGAACTTCGTTCCTCCGCCGTGCACGTGGCGATATAAACTATTTCCCAATCTGATTGTACTGGTGTGGAATACGCAACCCTCCAAATTAACTATATGTGCTGCGCTCACCTCTGTCTGCCCCTTCCTTAGACATGTAAAGCCTCACCCAGTTCAGGTTAGTGCGACAGCGACTTCGAGCCAGTGGCATAGGTAGTAGGGGGGGAGTTTTAAAGAAACACTGACACATCAAAATCTTTTTTTTTTTTATTATCCAAAACAATTGAAAACGATACCAGGACATTACCCTCAAAATTCGAAACTTGGGAATTCAGTATTTGTGAAGTAAAAAAAACAATTTCCAAATGGCGAATTCGAAGTTCTTAAAGTCCGACCTACAGAATCGTCTTCTACCGGGGAAAAAACCGGTTCCCAGTTCCCTTCTCTCCATTCCCACTCGCCCACTTTTCCCCTCCTCTCCACACAGGAGCGGATCTCTGAACTACTCCCGGTAGAGAGGAGGAGGGTCTCCCTTTTTCTCAAATGGAACGGAGAAATTGAGGGAGTTTCCTTCTTTCTGCTTGTTGGTCGGCCTTTAAGCGATCCGCACCGGTGCGTTGACGTTAAGTATTGCGGAGTCCTGAGAGTCTACTTTCTTTCACGACTCCCCGCTGTTGCCACCGCGACCCAAAGCGAGGAGGAAAAGAGCGGGAGAGATAAGGGTGCCGGGGGACCGTGAACAAACCGGTTTCTTCGTCCGGTTCCCCGACTCTATCATTCTCTGCTCGAGCGCCGCAGTTTTCCGAAGGAGGGTACAAATCCAGGAGGCGACATCACACCGGGCTCCGATTTTCGGTATTTCAAAAAGAAGGGCTGTAATGTGTTTGCAATTGCGTTAAAAAACAAGTTTTACGATTGCCGTTATTAAATGTTATAGAAATGTCGCCTACAAAGCTTCTAAATTCTGAGATTTACAAAGCTTCTAAAAAAAAGCAAGGAGGCGAAGAGTGGGGGAGGAAAGCGGCAAAAATAAAAAAGCATGCGCACGCGTAAAAACTTTTTTTTTTTTTTTGCGATGCATTTTTTTTTTTTTTTTGCGTGGTTATGACTACAATTTGCATCATTTTAGACAATAAAAAAAATATGACCCTTGGGGTGTCAGTGCCCCTTTCAGGTCAAACTCTGCCCCCCACATACACGCACACAACAATACAGCCCCCCACCCCCTGGGGAAATTTTCTGGTTATGCCATTGGTTTGAGCACCAGGCCTAGCTCGTGACGGGGGCCACAACTGCACAGACCTCTGCTCCACGGCCATTCGGCAACCTAGGGTGCAAGCGGACGAAACCTGAGTGTGGCCTGGGAAGCGTGCTCACCCTTTGGAGAGGCCGTAGGAGGCCATTCCCGAGTCCGGGTCCGAGAGGCGCTTGGCCACGGACAGGTGTCCTCCCCCGTCCACCTCGAGCAGGTCCTGGGGCAGCAGGGACGACGCCGTAGGCACCGAGGACTTGGTCCGTGACAGGGGCGCCTTCTTCTTGGGAACCTCGCCCGAGCAAGGCGGTAGGCTTTTGGTCTTCAGCAGCTCCCCTGAGGGCACATTGCGGGTATACAGCCACTTAGTGGGTTGCCTGGCCATGCACATGCGGCATGTTACCAACACAAGGCCAGCTTTTCAAGATCTAGCATTCCACCTCCTCCTGAAATCCTCGCTGCACTACTGCATACACGTGCCTGCCATTGACAGAAAAGGTTGAGATACCTTTTTTTTTTTAAGCGCAGGATGAGGACGCTATAATGTGGCATGCCATGACATGTCCACAGCTGCCCCATGTAGGCCCTCCTTCCATTCACAGACTACCGTGAAATACCGAGGGAGTGCCCATCCCACTTTTACTGAAAGCTGGGTTAACCGGGCACTTGTCGGTCAAATTGAGTGCTTAATGTATAATTTGCAGAATTCCCAAGTTTTTGGAAATCTTAACCGTGGGTGCTTAAACGAAGTGGGCGCCTCCGCGGTATATTACGGTAAGTGGGTGCCATCAGCTCACAAGTCTGGGCACTGCACATGTGCTGGAATTTGCATCTCAAGATGTGAAGCATCCTAACATACATAGTGCCGTAGGGGATGCTATTGTTGCGTCAGAGGTGCACGTGGGTACATTAAAATGACTCATCAAACACATATCTCGGACTATCTACCCCAAAGCACAATAAACTGAGCAAGCAGGCAGGCAAACAACATGCTCTATGTACGATAACCATGTCGGACACTCATGACACGGGCCTTCTGGGTACCCAAACTTTGCTGAACTTCACTCAAATATTAAGGTGGACAGCTGGTTTATGTTTAATGTTTACATCTAATTTTATTTGTGTTTTATCAATTTATGTTTAATTAAACAAACTTGACAAAACTTCCTGAACTTACCCGGGCCATATACTCCCTGATGCTTTGCTCGGCTTCCTTTAACTTCCCCAAACTTTCCCAAACTGACCACATTCCGAGGAAAATTGCCAAAATTTTCCGAAAAGCTCATCGGTTCCTCGTCTGCTCAGTCTGAGAAGGGCTCCCGCCATGGAAAGCAGACGTGTTAACTGACACACACCTGGGGAGGAGTCCCTGCTGTTGATGCCTCCCCGGGCCTTGACCTCCTGCAGCTGCAGCCTGGCCTGCTCGGCCAGCCGCTCCGTCACTGACTTCTGAGGCAGGTTGCCCCGCTCCGGATGATAGTACTTGCACTTGTTGCCATACGTGCACTTCTTGCCGTAAGGGCAGGCGGGGGGTGCCCCCTCCGCCCCCACGCACGGGGCTAGGGGACGGGGGCACGGCAGGGACCGGCCCTTGCGCAGGAACAGGTCCAGCGAGGGGCCGTGCCGGCCTAGGGGGTCGTCCGGAGGCATGAACCTGCAGGCAGAGACAGACGGACGGGTGCTTCTGGTCAGAGGGTCCAATGAGTCAGGAGATTTGATAGTCAAGAAATCAAAATATTCAATGAGTCACCAGATCTAACGGTCAGGAGGTCAAGAGACTCCACAAGATCTGTGACAAATCAAAGGGTACAATGAGCCGCGAGATCCATGGCAAGTCGAAGGGCCCAACGAATCAAGAGATCAAATATTGAACCTCTTGAGTAGTTAGATCTCTGGAATTGTTGAAACTTTGACCCTGAATCCCAGGTGGACGGAACACCGTCAAGAAACTCTCTAAAGCGGCCTCGCAACACTCGGGCACTGCGACACCAAATGAATGAGGCCACAAATAATAAGATCTGTTCCAGTATATTTCATATGCGACATGTGTTACTGATGATAATCACCATGCTTTGTCTAATTTTCTTTTTGCTTATTACTTACTGAGTGGCACCTATTTCACTCGTAGAAACTAATAGCATTATTTATGCCAAGCTTCCTGTGTCCAAACCTCGCCTTGGCCGCGGAAAAGAGGAGATGAAAAGACAATAGAATACAAGACAAATATGGTAGCACAAAATGTGTGACAATGGAAAGGTTTAAGACAAGTAAGAAAATCCAACAGAACAAAAAAAAAAAAAAGACTATAAAACAAAGCACACAAGACATACCAGGTACTAAAGCTTGCAAATCTACAACACAAAAGTGGCTGTGTTGTGCAAAAAATTTTTGACAGTGATAGTCATTTTAAAAAATTTAACGAAAGAAGGAATAGCAGAAACACTGCCACACAACGTTCACTTTTACGGCTGCATGGCGAAGCACAGTATGCAGTCATAAAAGTGCACAAATTTGACGTTGTTGTCGTGCGTGTCGCATTATCTGCCTAAAAACAGGTCATTTGTCCGCATCGCTGTCACACTTTTCCGAGCCAATCGTAAACTCTTTGCTCTCGATTAACAGCCAAAAGGTGGGCTTACGGGGGTTGAATACACCATAGAAAGCCACAAGTGTCATTCTTGGCCGTTTTTGCTTATAGTTAGCAGTAGAACCCAGACCGATAAAACATATGAAGTGTAAGGTTAGCTAAAGGCCGACTTGCAAAATCGTCTTCTGCCGGCAAGAAAACCGGTTCCCGTTTTCGTTATCTCTATTTCCTCTTTCTCTCTTCTCTCCTCCTCTCTTTACAGGAACGGGGTTTTTGAGCTACTCTCCACAGAGAGGAGGAAGGTCTCCCTCTTTCTCAAAGGAAGAATGGAAGGTGTGATGGCATGTCTCCAGATTGCTATGTGTCTGTGCAGCAGCATAGACTTTTCATTTTCCCGGGGGGGGGGGGGGGGGGGGGGGGGGGGGTGCTTTTCCGCGCAATTTTGTTTACAACGGCAATTATCAGTAGTTCATTTTAGGGGGTACATTTCACAGCCTATGTATATCGCCATGTGTCCGTCGCTGTGTGCATTATTTTGTTTACATGCCGCTACTAGAAGCTCGTTACATGGCACGTAAACAGCGTCTTGGTAAGGATCATGGCCTGGGGGAGGGCTCTGCCCCCTCCCCGATCTCACCAGGGGGGAACACGAGCCCCGATGCCTCCACTCCACTCCACTCCACTCCACTCCACTCCACTCCACTCCACTCCACTCCACTCCACTCCACTCCACACCCCCCCCCCCCCCCCCCCCCCCGTGGTCTACGCCTATGGTCTGTGGCATCATCTGCAAAAAGCTGCACAGTGAAGAACATTCTGAAGATTGGCTCATTCATTTGCATTTGAGTGTGATCAAGTGCATTGTGCTCCCTTGTTATAACGAGAAAACACACTGGCAAACTGGTGCCATCTATCAGGCAATCCCAGAACCTTTCCAACCTGCATGTGACTACAGTTAGTGACAGGTTAAGAATCTAGTAGATAAAAGTGTGCAATGGAGGCGGAGCATCTACTGGGTTCGTAACCTGTCACAAATTATAAACTGAAGGCTTTGCAGTATTTGCGAGATTAAATCTCCACATTACCGACGAGAAATGGTTGCTTATAACATCAGTTATTTCAAGCCCACAATAAAAAAAAATAAGGTGTAGAAACATACAACCCTATATAAGGATATAAGATATAAGGAGCCTCGAGGTGGGAGCGCAATGGGGTGCCGCGGGCGTGCGCACCTGTCATTGACGAAGGTGTACATGAGCAGCCTCTCCTCAACGACACGCTTGAAGTCCACGCTCTCGGCCACCAGGTCCCTGTAGTTGTCGTTGGAGACGACCACCCCGTCCGTCTGGGCAGCCATCTTGAGGATGTAGCGGTCCTCGTAGCACACCATGCGCTTTCCCCCGACGTTGCGTGAGGGCGTGAAGAACAGCAGCCGCTCCTTCTCCAGCTGCAGCAGAATCTCCTGGTCTGGGACGCCGAAGGACAAGAGGGAAATGATGCGCCTCAATCAAAATTAAGCACACTGGTGAAGTGGCATTGGAAATACAGGGCCTTCTTATCTAGGAGGTGTTAGTTGTTCCACACACTCTCCGTTCAGAGGGGGAGGGTATCAGCTAGACACTGAAACAATCTGGGAGAGGAGGAACCAAGCTAAGGTGCTCTAATGCAACAGTGTGCTGTAAGAGTGGCCACTTTTGCTAAAATGTCAGAAACAAGACATTGAAAAAGAAAATCCTTTTCCCATCTGATGTCACAATGTGCCGACAACAAACAGCAGTTTGTGAGGAGATTAAGGTTTGATCGGGCTCTCCATAAGCCTAATAAAACATAATAACCAGCTAATAAACAAGTTTGGTAAGAGCATTTGTTGTGTGATCAACTGTCAATGTCTTCTCTCGTTATTGTGCTGTTGCCTCACTGATCTTTTTACTCAAGTTTAACGCACATCGAGGTGCAAGGAAACTTTTATTCCTTTTTGTGGCAATTACTTTCCAGAACCACCGCATCTGAACAAATGGGGGGATTTTAAGGAATTGAACAGCGAGAAGGAAAGCTGGGAAGGGCTTCACAATCAAGCTAAAAATGTTAGTGGTTGTTTGTTTGTTTTTTTTTCCTTCTCTCCCAGGAGTTTTAACATAGATTATGCCATAGAGCTGGCATTGTAGAAAATCCCCGACATAAAGGACAGCAACCGACACAAGTCGCGTAACTGCACCGTCCACTAAATTTAACAGATTTTTTTTACTCTTTGTAAAAATTTGCTTATATGTAATACACACAATATTTTATTATTCATCCCCAAAACATATTTTTATCTATTTGAAAGTTTGACCAGTGACCTTGGAAGGGAGGGGAGTTTCCTTCCTTCCTTCCTTTCCTCTCGCGCTACCAGCAGAAGAGGGACAGAAGAAAATTTTTTCCAGGTAGAAAATCGAGCTTGTGCTTCAGTCTTATTTTGTATGAATATTTTGTTTTCTCTTTAAATCACAATTGCTCTCTTGTAGTTCATACTCAACTTTTCAAAATTCGTAGAAAAAAAAAACAAAACAAAAAAAAAAAAACACGAGCGGATTTTGGTTTTGTTGCAGTGCCAGAGATGGCGCCACCCCCTGGCGCGCCGCCAACGCCGACGCGACTGTCGTGCGACTTCAGCGTCCTCGACGCCGCGGGCTTCCCATAGCGTTGACTTTGCGTCGAAATCAACATCAAAGTTATCCGTATCAAGCCAGATATAGCACTTATAATGCGTGACAAGGCACGCGCATTCACGACTGATACGCACGCTGGATTAATCTGTTGCGGAAAAAAAAAAAAAAAGGAAATAGGAATATTGTATTTTAGTTTTTTATATATCTTCGTAAGATATCTCGCAAATTTTGCCACTTTTTGGAAGGTTTTAGAGTTTAGACAGCAAGGGGAAATGCTTGCGTTATCAATTTCCACTTTTCATTTTATTTCGGAGTTTGCGAAGACGTCCCCGATATCGACGTGCAGGCGGAAATGATAGCCGGACGATCAGTTTTCTTAGGTAAAGCAGCCACGAATGCATCAATCACGAAAGGCCAGGTCCCGTGCTGCGTCCGCTATGGCGCCACAATTCCTCGGCACAATCTGCGAAAGGGTAACGACATTCCCGTGTCGTAACACTGCTCTCCTGAATCGCACTGCGCGCCGCTTTTGTTCGATTGCTCGCCACGAAGGAGAAGTCCTAGGATACGTGTCACAAGCGACACTCCAAAAAGTCACGCCACGCTGTCAGCGACACGTGCCACTATTATGCTTCGTTCACCCCGACGCTGAGCCTGCAGTGCCCGCCGGACCAATCAGCCGCCTCCCTCTTAGCACCTGACTCGGCTCTCTGCGCGTTGGCATGGGCGGGAGTGATGATGTCCTCGTGACACGACGAGCGTCACGAAAGACAGCTACGTACGCCCCGAAAATGCCGAAATCATTTTTATTTCTCTTTTCGCTATTGGAACAGGATGGGGGCACGTTACTGCCGCCAACACCACATGCCCACCGCCCTCAGCTCACTGCGGTGGAACCTACGCGCTCGCCGACCCAATCAACCCGCTTCCCTTTCATCGCCTGACACCGCTCTTTGTACGGGGTAGGGAGCCTTCATGTGCGCACATAAAGGCAACCTAGTACGGGGCGGGAGCGCGAGGAGACGCGGTATCGTTCCGACGACGACACCTTCGCTGATACCTTTGCGCATGCATCGTACCGATCCAGACCCCACCTCCGCTCTCCGGAACGAAGACGGCACTGCGCATGCGCGGCGCTTGTCTTGCTGCAGAGTCCCGCTGCGCGTTGCGGAGGGCGTTGCGGGACAGCGGACACCCATCTACGAAAACTCGTCACACGACCGCTGAGTCATCTATTGGTAGAGTTATTCGGGAGTTTTCGCCAGATCGTTTCTGCTGTCCCGCAACGGCTCTCCGCGACCCGCTACGATGCCCGGAACTCTACAGTCAAGGCTATGGCCATGCGGGCGCAGTAGCGGCTTCTTCGTTGCGGAGGGGGAAACGCGGCCTACGAAAACTCTCTATTAGAGAGTTTTAGGGAACCGTGTTTGCAGAACAGACACAGTGCGATGGGCCCTCCGGTAATGATACCCGATACTCCGCCGCCGCCTTTGTGCATGCATCGTATTGTTATCGGAGGTATAGCTGAAAGGGGGAGGGGGGGGGGGGGGGGGGGGGGGGGACATCGGAGGTATTGAAACTAGGGAGGCGCACATGAAGGCACTCTAATCGAAACGATCTGCTGACGTCGTGAGAGCACGTGGGGAGCTACGCTTCGTCATTCGGGAGCCAGCTGCGCGACGACGAGCCCAGCTTCCTCCCGACAGCGAGCAAAAGCGTCGGCCTGCGAACCGCACGATCAGGGGTTCACTTACAGTAGCGCCGCGTGGTGAACCTAACTACGATTATTACGATTAATAATGATCGAATAGATTAATTATAGCTAAATATGTCTCCTATTCTATACGCATTGCCTGCTCTGGGCTGTGTATGCTCTATGTTGCTTTGGCCTGCGTGTAACGTTTTTTTTTGTTTTTTTTTTTTTTTACGCTTTAAGCGTAACTTTTTTTTTTTTTTCGCTTCAATTATCCAGCTTTTAAACACGTTGAGTTGAAACAACCAGAGTTTAAAAGCGGCGGTAACAACGGGCGTCAACCGCGAGAAGCCTGATAGCGACATCAGCGTGCACGCGGTCTGAATAAGGCCCCTCAAGGCTCGTCCTTCGCCGGGATTACTGCAGCCAGTATCCGGAAAGTGGTAACCGGAATCCGCGCGTGGAGCGATCGGGTCGCACGACCGACATAAATCGTGACGAGAGGGACGGGGGAGAGAGAACGGGGAGAAAGAAAACAACCTTCTTCGAGCGGCATTCTTTGGACAAGGGAAGCCCTCTTCTTTCTTTGTATCGAGAGGTCGTGACTACCGGCCGAAAAACAACCGCGGCGGGTAATAAACGAGCAAATAAGGCGCACAGGCACGTTCGCCCTCGCGTACAACACGCACTTGCGTAGTTTTTGACCGCCTCGCAGGGGGAGGGGGGTTTAAGGAACTCATCGATTTACTCGGACGTTTCCCACGATACGTAGAAAGGACCACGTTAGTCAGCCACTTTCTTGTTTCGTCTTTTTTTTTTTTTTACGCGTGTGTGTTTTTTGTGTAGTAACTTCCTTTCTGAACGACGTGCTCGGAAGGTAAAAATTATTGGGCTCATGTTTTAAACTAAAAAATATCCGTGAAAAAAAAAAAAAGAAAAAAAGAAAAACACCGTGCCGCGTGCGGTAAGGCGCCTGTACCCGACCACTTAATGCGATGAGGTCGTCGGTGCGCACGCAATGACATGCATGACAAACTTTTTTTTTCTGCCTAATGACTAAATCTCGATTAAAAACTCAAACGTAAAAAAAAAAAATAGCGACATCTCAGTTTGATTGGCAAAAACGTCAATCAAACGCAAAAAAATGTCCCGACAAAAACAAAAACCTGCGGCTGAAGTTCGTCTCAGAATACGTAAAATTATTATTTTTTTTTTTCGATTTCAATGAAGCGTGAACAATTTCGGAAATGCCCAAATTAATCAACCGTTCACAAAAAAAAAAAAAAAGTTTCAGTTTTTTTGTTTTTATTAAAAGTTCGAAGTTTATCTCCACCTTGCCCCAACTTGGCTTCCCTCGCGGCTTGGGAGAGGGGAGCGCTAAGAGGATTATCTTCCCTGCAGAAAACCGAGGTAGGTGCTTACCGCTCATTCACACTGGAAGCGGATCCGCGTTCGCAAAGCGGTTGCGAACGCGGTTGTATAAAGATTCAGTACAATTGCACGCGCACTTGATGTCACCGAGTGCGCGTGCATTTGTACTGAATCTTTATACAACCGCGTTCGCAACCGCTTTGCGAACGCGGATCCGCTTCCAGTGTGAATGAGCGGTTAGAGAGGTTGTGCTTCGATACCAGGTCCGGTCACCACCTAGCTGTGTTTAGAGATTTGTGTCTGTCCTTTGTCCCCCCCCCCCCCCCCCGCTCCCCTTCTCCAGGGATTATTATCATCAATCGAGGTTGTACGTCGGCCTTTATACTTCGTCCCACTAAAACCGCGCAGTACAGCCAAAGCTACAGGAGAGAGAGAGGGCGTACCCCGACCTGCGCAAGAGGAGGGAAAGGAGGATGTGGGGAGTCCCGGCCCTTCTATCCCTCCTCTTGAACAGGTTGGCATACGCTCTCTCCCCTGTAGCTTTGGCTCTGCTGCGCGGTTTTAGTCCCGCGACGTACGTTGGACCGCACAAATAGCGTACAGGGTGGTGAGGGCTACGCGCTCGCCGGAACAATGAACCCCCTCCCTTTCATCGCCTGACTCCACTCTCTGCGCGTGGGTACGGGCGGGAAGCACGGTCACGTGGCGAAAGATAGGCGCACGGTTCAGGCTGGGCCGATGAGCCCGTACAGCCATAGCCTCCTCTATACGGAGAAAGCCTGGCGCATCGCGAGAAAAGACGGCCGCCGTAAATGGGAAAGGAGGGGCGGAGAAACGGGAGCGGAGAGAACCTTGCCTGCTAGCGCCACAAAAGAGCGAGCGGCCAAACGCAGAAACAATCTTTTTTTTTTTTTTCTATCTTTTCTTGTCGCTATCGCGGAGAGGAGAAACTCAACGTGCACCCTTTCCCGTTTCTCCCTGCGCCCTTTCGAATCGCCGCGCCCGTTTCTCCCGGAGTACGAAAACGACGGTGACGAAAACACAAAAACAAGCGTGGTTCGGGGAGCGGCCGCTCATGACCCAAGCGCTCGCTGTCTAGGTCTGCCCTTTCTGCTCTGCGCTACCATATTGGTCACCGTTCGGCGCGCTCCTCCTCTCCGTTTTCCTGCGGCCGCGCGCCCTATGGCTCCGTCGTCGATGTGCCAGGCTTTCTCCGTATAGAGGAGGCTATGGTACAGCTTACACTGCACCGTCAGCTTAGGGGTGAAACAAGTGTAGTCACGGAAGCCACGTCCTGGCCAAAAGCGGGATAAGTACCGTCAGATCGCCCAATGAGGTGTGTGTCCGACCAGGTACGACTTTTTCAAACTTTCAACTCCAAGTTTAACGAAGTTTTGACCGAAGTTCGAACACTATGCGCATACGCGTAAATTAAAAACCAGCTGGCACCGCCTAGCGAAGGAGGGGTGGAGCATTTTAACGAACTACCGTAAATTTAAAGATATAAATCCCGTTTCCTTTTTTCTTTTAACAAAATGTTTTGTTGGTGCACAATCATAAAAAAAAACGATGCAACTTACAAGCGGTTTTTTTTTTTTTTTTTTTTTGCTGCAGGTACGGGCGTTAATAGCCTAAAGTTGCCCCGGGTGTAATATTCATCGTTCTATTCATTTGCGAGAATAGTGACACTTGCTCCCGCTTGTGCATATATCAATCATGACAAACTTTCGGGGACATTGCGTGGCATAAAAAGTTTTCAACGAAATATAAAAATTCTAGCTGATTTGCGTTCAATGATACCCAGGCAATAGCAGTCCACGGAAACATCGCGATCTTTTGTGAAGAAAAGCAGAAATTTACGCTTTTGTAATGTTGCCCATAGAATCCAATGCAAATAACAACAACAACAAAAAATTTTAGAGCCGTGGAATAAAAACTACACACATTCAAACGTTTAATTAGTGCTCATTGATATTTAATGACCGTCACACTGAATATTCCCGGGCAACATTGCGATGTTCGTTGTCCTTCAGTTGAAATTCTAGTTTTAGCGCATGCGCCGAAGCGTTGTTGTTCAAGAAAGTTCGGGATGCACGGACACTTTCATAATCGCACGTGGTCTCCAAAGAGGACATAATTAAAAATACACAAATGAATGAACTGTAGTTGATCGAATGAAAAAGTCTACGAAGCTGCCGAAAGACAATATCTTTGGCGGAGACGGGGTCATAATACACTATGCGGGCTTATCAATGCAGTTTTGGCGCGTCTACCTCCCAAATATATGAGTGCGACTTATAACTAAAACCTTATATGTTCGCTTGCATATCGAGTAAACATTGGCTATTCTTTCTTTAAGGGTGTTTTTCCCAAACCTTCAATTATCTGTAGAAATCGAGCAACACTGTGTAACCAGTCGAACTTTTCTCCGCCTAACAAAATTAGCTTAGAAGGGCGGGAGGAATCGTATGCTTGTCTTTTTAGACCTAGGCAAGGTGGCGCCCGCTACCGCTCTTTAGAAAGGGTATGGCCATTAATATCCATCCATCCATACTGTCCTAGGAGCGGGTCTCCGACTGGTGTGGTTAGCGTCCTATTCCACCTATTCATCAAAAGTGGTCCCGAAGTGGCAACAAATGACGTCACAAAAGCCCGAGTGTCACGCTGTCGGATGTCGCGATCCTGGCGATTGGTCGTACAAATGCTGGCGAAAAGCACGAGCGAAAGCGAGCGTCGCTGTCGTCGCGGCGTCCCAACTCCCGGCTACCGAAGCTTCCGTGGACTGTCAAGCTGGAGAGCGACGTGCAGCGGAACAGGCGCCAGTCACATCCAGCACCGTTGCTGTGACGCCGCCAGGATCGCGGCCGGCGACAGCGTGACACTTGTACGACGTCATCGGGCGGAAATCGAGGGACCACTTTTTTGGACGCAGTAAACACATCGGTCGGGTGCGCAGAAACCAGAGTCGCGTGAGGTGAAGCGTGTGTGCATGCCTCGTTCCGACAACAGCGCCACCGACCCCAGTGGCATCGGAGAGTTGAGCAGCCGATGTGGACGTGCGTGCGTACCTCGTATGGGCGTGTCGGCCCTGGAGGCCTCTTTCCTCCAGCTGGGCACGAAGACGGAGATGTCCGTGTGGCCCCTGGCCCGGAACCAGTCCACGGCCAGCTGGATGCCCCGACACGAGAACAGCTCCTTGTTGCCGTGGCTGCGACACAGAGGGGGAACGGCGCCGTTGGGGAACGCGAGGGCACTACCAGCTGTGTCGACCCTTCCACAGAAAGCCACTGAGCGCCATTCGTCTCGTTTACGGCATTACAGTGGTCCTAAAAGTGTGCTCGCCGAGTCAAAGCAACTTATTGCTCGACTCAGGCACGTAGCCAGCATTGGGTTTCGGGGGGTCCCGCCCATAACAAAATGCTGTATGAGGGGGAAGGGGGAGAGGAGGACCCAGCAAAATGGAAGATTTCGGGGGGAGAGGGGGAGGGCGGGCCGGCCCCCCCCCCCCCCCCCCCCCCCCCTTTGGCTACGTGCCTGGCCTCGACTACGGTACCCCTTTGATGTCAATCGCTGCGAAACCTCCCGAGCCACACGCACTCCTGGAACTCGAACGCTATGACGCGTCCCGTGCAAGAAGTGTTCTTTAGCATGGGCACCTTACCGGCAAAAATACAGATAGCGCCAAAGGTAAGTGGAAGAAGTGAACGGGATAACTAGTAGTTGATGTTTATCAGTTACTATAGTGGTAATCGGTGTTGTGATTGATGATGCGCGAGAAAAACGTTTAAGCATGGCTCGATCATATCTGACTAACTCGAGACTCGCAAAATAAGTTGAGAATGAGCTGGGCTCATACTGTATGTGCGCGTGACGTCATCAGGTCGCGTGACTCTATGACGTTGAGGTCATATAAGGAATATAGCTTCTTAACTAAAGAGTCGCCGTATGGAAAACGCCAACACCCACATAAACAAACAAAGCGTGAGTAAAAAAAGCATAAGAAATAACGCAACACTGCTTCTACACATACAAAAATAAGTATTTAAAGGATTTAGCCCATCGTGTCCTCGACAGACGGAACAAATAAATTGATAGTGGAGACATTGAAATCTAGTGAGCCAAGGAGTTAACTATACTCCACCCCTAAACCGTCTGGTCAAGCTTCTCGGCTCATTTTTCAAGCTGTGTCCTTTCGATGACTCATTCATGTGCCTCTCGTACAAAACAGTGGTTCAGGTTCTAAAGGAGGTTCGATTTGGAGTTATTGAATCTTTGCCCTTTTGCACCACTAAGACGTCGTCTACGATCGCCAACCACTGCAAGTCAAACTTCGTACGCCACGGCACTCCAGAAGTTGTGGTATCGGATAATGAACCACAGTTCTCATCGTCCAACTTCTCCACATTTTTTTTTTCGAAAATACTGTTTTTAACACACTACCTTAGGCCCACATTATCCTCAAAGTAATAGACTCTGAGGACTCTGCCGTAAAAGTCATCGAGACATCGATGAAGAAAAGGCAAGACCCGTACTTGACCGTCTCGTACAGGTCAGCTCCAATGAAAAAGGAATACAGCCCCACCGAGCTGTTCATGGGTCGGCGCTTACGGACCAAGCTTCCTACTGTTCCAGAGAGGCTCGTTCCCCAAGTACTTAATGTGCACATTGTACTACGGAAGTTTGAAGAAGAGTACCCAGAAAGGCAGCAGAGAGCTTTGCATTTAATTGCATTCTAATAAGAGAGACTTCAATCGTCGGCATGGCACACGTGTCATGTCAAAACTTTTAAGTGGGGATGATGTCTGGATTACTAAAGAGGAAGGGAACTGTACAAAGCTCAGCAGACGAGCCCTACCTCGTAGACACCAGCAACGGTGTTGTGCGACGAAACCGGACTCATTAAGTTCCCTTTCCTGAGACTGTTAATGACGCAAAAGTTAATCCTGATAAAGATGCAGGCGGATCTGCGTGCAATGACAGTTCGCACTCACATACGCGAAGTGGCCGCTGCGTACCTCAGAAACTTTAGGTTTTGTCCTTGAGGGCAGATGGGTTGTAGACATCAGAAACGGGGCTGGTGTGCTCGCACCTCGCGCATAAGAACATTCTCCGGCCCATGGCTAAACGCAAGGAAAACTCGTCTTCGTATCAAGCTACCGTCTCGCAGTTCCATTATGCGGCACAATCGTACAAAAACGAATGAAAACGGCTCAAAGGCGCAACTTCCTTCGGCAAGCGAGCCGTGCACATCAAAAGCGGGAGTCCCACTTTTCGGTGTAATTGTGTTGTCTGTATGTGGACTTCAGACAGCTGGAAGTTAACTGCAACAAGCCTGTGGCGTTTTCGCAGTAGATGAAAAACCAAGCCATTGCAGTACCACTCCTAACTTAAAATCTGTGCGCCACAGCAATGATACACGACCGCACACAGTGCAGTTTCAGAACTTTCTATCTCGCCAATGCTTTGCGCCAGAGCCAACAAATCGAGCGTGGCTGGCGGGGCACTGAGAGCGCCGCGGGCGCCTCTTTTGTCAGCTCCGCGTTTCATCCTGATGCTTGTGCTAGAACTATATAGCCAGCCAGCCCTCGAAATGCTAGCGTCGTCTGTAGGTTTCGACCAAGAAATTTTTTTGGCTCGGCCTCAGAGCGCGAGCCCCGCGACTGACACGAAGCTTCTAGTGACGTTGGGTACGACGCCCATCCTCACCGAAAAGGACGGGGAGCGGGAATCGAACTCGGCCAGGAAGATATCCCTTTGAAAGGTCATTACAGTCCGTCCTTCGACGCACTGACTGAACGCTAACTAGGCCCAGCCGACTGCTAAAGCAGCCCTCGAGTCCGATCTACGTTCGACCTCACTGTGATGACGTGTGATGACGTGTGACACAGGCCTCGATTGCTCTAGGTGGCGTTGCTCGGGCGCACCGGACCTTAGCACCGGGCCGTGCAGCAAGGCCAGCGGGTCGGGAACTCGCGCAGGTCGTGCCAGTGCGAGCTTGCATCGCCGCTCGAAGCAAGCTCCAGGCGGCTCTCCGCAGAGAGGGAGCGTAGATCCGGGTAGCGCACGGCGGGAGGGAGGGGGACCCGGCGGGGTCACCACATCCTCTTGGGCATCCTGGTTCCCTCCGCCACCTGTCCTCCCTCCCCTCGGTCCGAGAAGAAGGAGTCGTTCTTCTTGCCGCCGCGAAGACCGGCCGCGGCAGATGTCCCGCTGTCCCGCCACAGACCGCCCGCCGGCCAGCCCCGGCACGGACGAGGGCGAGCGGCCGAACCGACTGGGGGTCCCCGGCTCTCTCTCGCAAAGCGTGAATTGCGGATTCGGAAGCTGGCGACGGCCTTTTTTTGCGTACCGCGGCCGGAGTGACGTTACCGCGGAGCCGCTAACAGAGCCCAACTTTCCACAACAAGCAGCAGATCCGAGTGTGTGTGCGTGCATGTGAAACACATTTCTTCGTCCCTGAGTTAGAGCGCCATCGTTCCCGCTCACGTGGTTTCTGCGTTGTGATTCTGCACGCCGCAGTAGCGGCGAAGCATTCGGCCGATAAGCAATGCCAAGTGTACGTAAACGAGCGACGTGCCATGAATTGACCTGTAAGTCCAAGGCATTCGGTTCCCCGAGTACACGGTGCCTGCGTACACCGACCTATTTGTAGAGAGTTCACAGACCACGAGAGCCACAAGTTCAGCCAAGAAAAGTATACCGTAGCTCGCGAGCAGCGGTTTGCGCACCCTCAAATATCATCTAAAAAAAAATTCGCAAAAAAATTTTTTTAGGACGTGGAGTGTTTTCAGCATGTCTTATTATCGCTTCACTCCACAGTAATAACGCAACACAGTAATAACATCATCCCAAAGGAAGAAGCGTGATCATTCATCTAAAAGAGAGGGTAATGCCTTTCCTCCTCTCATCCCTGCACGGCGCCCGCTCCGTAGGCTGGCCAGTACCCAACATCCGGTTGGCGTGCAAACACGCTTGGAAAATCGCCTCAAGGCGCTTATGTAGATCTGCAAGTTACTGTAAAATGTTATATCCGATAAAGAGACTAACCGGGCACAATTTTGCTGTCATCTGCCGCGCAAATAAAAAAGAAAACTGAATAAAACTTTGTAAACCGTGCGAATGGACCACCGAGAAGTGAACGCTGTTGCGGTAGCTTTTTACAAGATAGTGTTTGTACTCATCATTAAGGTTTTAGCAACTACGTGGACAAAGTCTAGAACTCTAGACTAAAGGGCAACTCCGCTCAATTCCGAAGATTTCGGGATAATGAGTGATTTCGAATTAAAAAGCCCTAGTAAAAGACACTACGTCGTTTGCTTCGCGAAAAATGGGATATATATATTTAAATCTAATTTTAAACACGAGCGGAAATCGAAACCGAAACTTCGGCTCTGTCCGGCAACATTGGCCTCGGGCCGCCAAGTACATGGCCATCACGTGGTACGAGATGTCACGTGATCCTCGGCCCGACGACGGGCGGGATGGGGGCGGGCCTGTGGCAAGGCGCGAGTGTCGTCTGCACCGCACTCTTCGCCACGTTTTGGTGTCTACGGCATTCGAGTTCGACGACGTCTGCACAACTGCGGCAGAAGTCTGCGACTCTGCGCACGTGGTGTCCATAGTGTGGACGAAACTCCGAGAGGAAATAATCACAAACGGTGAGACGACGACGGTGGTTGTGACGCGGAGGACGGAGGTAACGGCGGGACCACGGCGGGCGGTTGGTCTGCTCCCAAGAAGCGCGCTGCGCAGGCGCGTACGCCAATCACGTGGACACCGCTGAGCGCCGAGAAGCAACGTTGCTGACGTCATGCGCTACGCTCGATCGGAGAAGTAAAAACAAGCAAAAGGGGGCCATGATGATGACGTTTAGCTCAATGTTGGCTCCGCCCATGCCGTAACCTTGACTGCGCTGTTGGTTGCACCTGAATTCGCCCGCTCGAGTCAGCCGATTTCGGCAACTTGGCGAGTTGCAAAGTTTTCCGGACTGTTTAAGAAACATTTAGACAGAACTGCGTCGTAATATTTGACGTGTGGTCTTCCCAGGCGATACTGAAGAGGAGTGCATTGTTTTTTCAAAACCAAAAATGAAGCGGAGTTGCCCTTTAAGAAGAAGAAAAAAGTGCTAAAAACATACTGCGCAATTATTATTATTATTATTAACTTTACGATTAACAATTTTGCGCATTTTTCATAGCCTGCCAGCCTTGGATATTAAGACCTTATGGAGTTTACATTATCGCGTATGTGTGTACAGGTCTATTTCTAACAAAAATGTCTTTGTGTGATGTTTACGCGTAGGTGCACCCGAAAACATAACGACGCGGCTGCGCCGGCAGCGAGGCTTCATTGGCTAAAAAAAATATATATATATATATTACTGAAATGCCTAAGGATAACCGCTCAGTGTTTTAATGTTTCTGACCCCGGAGTTAGAAAACAATTACGTTTGCATGGCGTTTGGCAAAAGACCAAGAAAGGTTTTTTCGAACTCAGAACTGCACAATCAGAATTCTATCTTCTGCTGACGTAATAGACGCAGCGGTTAAGGCTCGTACTACCGCCAGTTAACGCCACTGCTATTGAAGTAACGGCAAGAAGGTACGCTAGTTGATCGTTTACTAAAATGAGACAACAGAGCATGCTCCTAGAGTCGTCACATAAATGTTCTAGAGACGCCAACCACTTCGAAGCGGAAGCACCGAGCGAGCGTTAGATGTTCGGTACAGACCACGCGTACTGCCCAAAAAGTGGACGAATGGCCGGCTTTTTACCCCGTCAGTAAAAATGACCGGATGTAACAAAATGGTAAAATTTGATGCCCAGCAATACTTCATTTTTTTTTTCCCAAAGTGAAATACGCAAAAAAGAATGCGCTACATGCCAGGAACTTTAAAACGATTAAGAAGTAACCTAAGCTCGTTCATTTTTACTTTCTTCCCCCCTCAGTCTTGGGTCTCCGTGATACGCACTCTACGCCATCTATCAACTTATGCAGCCCTGTCAAAGGCACGGGTACAAGAGCATAACAGCTGCTCGTACGGACTAGCTTTGTCCCGGCCGCGTATGTATAGTCTCGAGTGTGTAGGCTAGTGGCGCAACCTACCGCCCGTTATAAAGGCTATACAGCTGTTAGAATCCATCCACTCGTCCAACCACCAAAATCCCCCCCACCCCAAAAAAAAGAAAGAAGAAGGGCGTGGCCCACTATCTTTACGCTCCTGTGATTGGTAGTTCATTGGCTGCGGAGTAAAAGATGCTCGGGACTCCTCAGCGGGCCCTGAGTTGCTCTATCTGTCGGGGAGTCAGTGACAAAATAAGAAAGGCTAAGAGGTCGTTGTCCCGCCTCCAGCACGAGTTTCCCGCCGTCGACAACGCTTCGGTGCCTCGTGTGCCTCGCGTCTCGATAAGCACTAAGCGCGCGCTGGAGGCCGGGCGTCCGAAAGGTATGTCGTTCTCCTTCTGTCACCGACTCAGGAGCGCGACAGCAGAGTTTTGAAAGATGGCTTTTTTTCGTAACTATAGTAAGTTACAGGTCGAGAAGGTAGCGGCAAGTGCCCCTCAAAGGTATTCATATATCCCTCCGCCACCTCCGCATCCAATAGTGTCCCATCGTTTCCGTGACGTCGCGGCCAATGCTTGCCTTCCTGTAAATATTTGCCTTATATTTCGATTTTGACTTCGCGTTGTGGAAGCCACCAGAAGGAGATTAGAGTTTTTCACCTCCGATAGAAACAAGTACGACTTTCGGGGGTTAGGTTCCCCCTCCGACGGACAAAAAGGCTACTTTCAGGGGCTCGGTTCCCTCTCCGATGAATACAAAATTCGCTTTCTTAAAAAGTCGGGGTCGGAAACAAGTTGGCACCAGGGGCTTTTGACTGCGGAGGGATTTGAAGCGGGCGCATCACGCTTGTGGGAGTAGCTTCTCTTATCATCTTGACTTGTAACCGACTAGAGTTTGAATTTAGCTACTTTGGAAATTCTAGCTCCCAATCTAGCTACTTTTGAAATTTTTAATTCCAAACTTAGCCACTCCCCTCTCCGCTCCCTATGGTTACTGACCATGAAGAGTGGGTGGGTAAGCGGCAAAATGCCAAGTCCGCCTCAGATGACCGACTATACTTTCCATAAAGGCATATGAGGGCGCGTTTATTGCTGTGTCTGTGTGTGTGTTACGCACGCGCCGCAATTACGAGCAAGCACTGGCTGGACTGTGATTTTCGTGAACAGCGGAAACGTGCATAGCGTCCGCCGGCCTGCCGGCTCCGCCGTGAACGAGGCGTGCTTACCTCATGGCGACGTTGCTTCCGTCGATGACGATGGGCCTGAGCGCGTCCTCCTGCTGCGCCGCCCTGGCTCCCCTGTCCGGGGCCGCCTCCGAGGGCGCCGAAAGCGGCTCCCGGGAGCCCAGCCGCACGAGCTCGGCCAGCAGCTCGTTCTGGCCCGGCTGGGGCCCCAGGCGACGGAGCGCCTGCTGGACCTGCGCGAACGAAACATCTTCCAGCTATGGCCACACTGGTTGCACGCTCGCTGAAGGTAATCGACGTAGCCCGTGCAGGACCCCTGCTAGGCCGGGGTTTGTAGCGTGCACTGCGAAGTCACACGACCACGCGCCGGCACGGTGCTCGACCAGATTGAAACGGCCGGGGGCGGGGATTGAACCCAGGGTCTCCTGGGTTCTGTAGCGCGTACTGGAGACCTTGTTACTAACTGTGTACGTGTGATCGAGAACCATAAACATTAACATCATCGATGTCTTCCTTTTGCACACGCAGGTCTTGCGAACAATCGCTTCTAACAAATACTCTCCAACGCGTCAAGGAATCCCGAGCGTTTACCTTCCCGGAAAGCACTTGGGAAAGCCAATCGCTGCTATCTGAGGAGGCAGCTCGGCGAATTACGGGACGGCTGTCTCCGCTGCCACGACGGGTAGTTGGCAGTAGCCACCTCTCCCAATTGTAAGTAGAAGACCCCGAGGCTGCGCCCGTCCAGCCGTTCAGACAACGCAAAAGCTGTCGGCACCAAGGCCATTGAATTTTCGCGTGGTGAGACGCATTTCCCAGCCGCTCACCTGCGCCTCCGTGTAGCCCAGCTTGACGGCGAACTCGAGCTTGCTTGCGTAGTGTGGCCCCGCCGAGCTGACGTACTCTGCGAACTCTGCGCCCAGGGTCTCGGAGACGGTGCGCGACACGTCCTCGTGCTGCCTGCCGCCCCCCGAGGAGGCCTCGGGAGGCGCGTTCTCGGTGTCCGAGTCGTAGCTCGAGTCCTCGGACTCGAGGGTCCGTCTCCGCCGCACGGGGTCCGGCCGGTCCCCGCCGCCCGCCAGGGACGTGGAGCCGCACCGCTGCAGCTGCAGGGACGACGCATCGGCCGGCAGGGCTTCGCAGGCGCCGGCCAGCAGCTCCTGAAAGGGCACAAGAGGCGCCGTCAGAACTCGAGAAGCCCCGACCCACTCATCCCGAGAGAACGCCCACCACAATTCCATTTGTGCTTCTTCGAAAAGAGAAACACCTTGATCCTACGTACCAAGTCGGAATTAAGCAGAATGCGGATGGAGGGCGATACACGATATTTTCCGCTGCATTTTGTGGACGCTCTTCGGGCACGTGACGTCATCAGCGTGACAAGATGTCACGTGATACTGCATCACGTGACATCAAACAACACCAGGAAGCAGCAGTGTCGTCACATGACTCCGTAACGTCACGCAACGTGACACCACAGCGTACGACAGACATCACGTAATCTATAGTCGCACACACAGCGTGATCGCCGTACGCCCGTGCTAGTATCACGTTTTCGTCACAACTTGCAGCGACGCTCTATTCTTTGCAAGTGGCTCGTAAGAGCGCTAAAATCGTTTGTTGTTCTCGGCGTGACTCAGGGCGGATCCCAGTCAATTCCAGAACTGTCCCACCGCAAACCACCGAAACCTGCTCCTAATGCGGTCCCGCGACTTTACAGACGCACGCGATTACAGGGGGACAACCCCATCCGGAGCACCGATTCCCTTCCTCCACCACGAACGGCGCCACCGATTTCTGCTTCATCGATTTCTGGGCCAAGGATTCGTCCATGCGGATCGTAACTTGGCGTCAGTAAAACTCCGTTACGCGCGTCAGCCGCAGAACCAGACCTTGAAAGTGACCCCTGTCTCTTAAAGAAAAAAAAAGAAAGAAGAGGAAAAGAAAAGAAAAGAACTAATTCCCAGTGAAAACCCGCGAGTGGTAAGTAGAAAGAAAACAAGTCTTGTCGAGGCGGAGGTCTTCCGCGGACCGTGCAGGCCAGCTGCCTTGGGGTGCATTCACACTGCAGCGAGAGGCGGAACCGCAAAGAGCACGTTTTCCTCATCAAAAGCGCGCGGATGCGAACAGGATCTTGTGTACCAGCCGCCACCGCTTTGCGGATGCGCTCCAACTGCCAACGTGAAAGCAATGCGAATTCCTCGATCCCCGCAGAGACGAGAATGCCGTGCAGTGCTTGCGCTGCACCCAACAAGATTCCCATAGACTATATATCAGAATTTCTAATTGAAATCACCAACGCTTCGTCACGAAATGAAAGAAAAACCTCATAATTCCAATGTCTTGCTTTTTTTTAACTGATTTTTTCGACACCGAAGGAAAGACGCGAGTGCTGTGCCCGTTAAACGTAAATTGAGTGACAAAATAGCTTTAGTCGTTGCAGTCTGTCAAAACCTAGCGCGCGTTTTGAGATTCGTCACCATCCTGCAAATATAACGAAATACAGTTACCGTTACCCGTTACTTTCTGGACCAAACGAGCGTTACTTTAGCACTAGTTTTGAGTTACACTGGATTATATTATTATGGTTTAGAAGCGACAAGTTTCGGACACCGACTCTGACGACAACTAAGCTCTTACGGAGCACCGCTATAACGTTTTGTATCCTTTCGCCACCGAGTTTGTAGAATGCAGCGAGAGTCCCGCTGGCTCGTTGGCTCTCTAAAGGGACCGAAAATGTTACTAATGTTAATCAACACTAACGAGTTACGTAATTTGATAGGCAATAACGTAAAACAGAAACGAAATTTTACTTTTCTCGTTAGTAGCTTCAGGGTATACGTGACTACGTTACTGAAAAGAAAAACTAACGCGTTACAAGGGACGTCTTCACTTGTAACGCGTTACTTCCACCAACATTGATTCTAGTCGCTGACAGCGTACGGAAGGCAGGAGCGTGGATTGTTATTTAACGTCTTGAAGCAACCCGACTCTGATGATCAGAACGTCTCAAATTTGAGACGTTCTCCTCTTCTCTTCGCTTGGTGTCAACTTTCGTATTTCCCCAGTCTCGGGTTGCTTCGAAATGTTCCGTACACACCAGCTCACTCGCGCCCTTACGTTCTCTTGGCTCATTGTGTTTCGTGCTTCTTGCTTCGTGATTCCTTTTTTTTCGGCGTTCTTGTCGGATAATGCCGTAAACTCCCCGACTGAGGCGCGACAACAAGCTGGGTGCTCCGAACTGGCCACGTTGAAAGTCGCGGGTGTTAGGGTTCGAGTTAGTAGTCTGGATGAATGGTTATAGTTTGTAAGTAGGAATTCAATTTCTTCATTCACGCTAACAAAAAACAAAACATTCGAATATTGAAAAAAAAAAATCAATGGCAAGCAGAATTTTCGCCGTATTTGTATGAGGTAGAGAGGGATATTAAACGATGGTTTTGGAGAGATTGGCGTTGGAGATACATCGGACAATTATATTTGTATAAAAATTGGGAAAATGTGCATTTATAAGATTCGGCGAAAGTCCGTCTCATAACTTTAGGAATAATAACTGTGGTCCTGTTCGCGAAACCGAAACGATGGATCCTGTTCACGACAGAACCCTATTCCCCAGACGGATTGTTTAGACGAATCAAAAAAATTCCAGACGTAGCTTACGCCACCTGCGAGCAGATAATGTCCGCGTCACGTGATCGCTCTTGGACTGCGCCACAGTGTCGTTAGTTTCTCGCAGCGTATCAACGACGTACCGGAGTCCCAGTGAAAACGACCACGAAAGACGACCAGCGAAGCGAGAGCGAATGCACCTTGACTGATTTGGCTCGCGCTCGCGTCACTTTCCGCGAAAGCGTATCTTACTAAACGTACGAAAGCCAGTATAGACCTTTCCAGAAAAGGGCTGCTGGCCGGTTTCATTTTCAGTGTTCGTGCGTATCGCGCGTGATTTGCTCGATTTCCGAAGCGACGCACACGCGCGTGCTGAGCTGTGGAGATCGCACGCTGAGCTGTGGATTTGTAAACATTGGAAAGGTCTATACTGGTTCGCTTGTACAGGGTGTCACAAAAGAAAATTTACAGGGTTTTTATTTCCGCAAAAATAAACTAGGCATCGCCGAACGCTCATTCTCTGCCCAAAGATAGCGCTAGAGGTCACAACCATATGCCAAAGTTTCAGTCCGATCTGATAATTTAATCAAAAGTTATAAGTGATTTTCTGAAAATTTCAATGGGAAAATGGCGGCCGACCGAGTTTTCAAACACATGGGGCCCTATGGCGCCAGAAACCGAAAACGGGCAAAAATGGGCTCCATTTTCCCATTGCAATTTTCAGAAAATCACTAATAACTTTTGATTAAGTTATCGGATCGGGCTGAAACTTTGGCATCTGGTTGTGACCTCTAGCTCTACCTTTGGGCGGAGAATCAGCGTTCGGCGATGCTTAGTTTATTTTTGCGGTGAAAAAGACCGTGTAAATTTTCTTTTGTGACACCCTGTACAGAACGATCGTCACCGCCCCGACTATGCGTTCCTTTAATAGGCGCCGCGATTTTACGTCGCAACACCGTCTTCTAGATGGTTATTGTCGTTTTACGCGCAATTGTTCCGACTGCTCGGCTGGTCCGATCGGTTCCGCGATATGAGGCCTCTCACAAACGAACAGTTTCGCCGCTTCCGCGAGATGTCCGCGAAGCCGGTCGAGCTGGCGTCGTTCCCATCGCCACCAGCAGCGAGGCTCGTAAAATGCACGCGGGAAGCGTAAAACAAGCGACGGAGAGGCGGCTCCTCCCGCCGAGAGGTACGCGCGTCCCTCTGCATTCGAAACATGCGACACGCATCCACCCGAGGGTCCGCCCTAGAAAACTCTTCAAGGCCGTGCCAGATGGTACACTTGCACCGAAAAAAAGAAGAAAAAAAAAACACCTATTACGTGTAAAGGGGTGTCCAAACAGGACACTACAAAACGCACGATTCCGACAAATCGTGAAAATTGAAGCGGACGCGCCCGCTTCGCGCCCGCTTCAATTTTCACGATTTGTCGGAGTCGTGCGTTTTGTAGTGCCCTGTTTGGACACCCCTTTATAGGGCGCTGGGAGAGACACTACAACGATATGTGTTGGATTAGGAGACCGCAAGTTCTTCGGAGTTTGCGCGTGGCGCGTGCATTGCTTGCTTTTCGAAGCGACGAACACGTGCGTGCAAGAACAAGCGTCGAATTGGGGGGTTCTACCTAGCAAACCAACAAAGGCCATCTGGCACGCCTTAGCGGAGGACCGACGATTCATTCCCACGGGGATTTTTCGACGTTCAATATATATAATATACAAGAAAACATTTTTGTAAGGGTGCAGGCGAGCTGCTGGAAGTTAACCATAGTTTTGTTTAACCCGAGACTGGGGTATTTCGGAAAAGGGACGAGAAGAAAAGAGGCCACAAGGAGGCGACGTCTCAAACGGTATACGCATGACAAAAAAATTTGAAGTGCCGTAAAAATTCGCCGAAAAATGCCTTATTACAAAAGACTTGCTCAAAAAGCCAAGTTTTCCCTTTTGTTTGTTTTTAAGTATATGATCAGATCAAATAAATTTGAATATTGCTGGTAGTAAAGTTTGCGTGCATTGGGCATAAGACATTTGATAACGTAGACAATTGTTGTTGTTGTTGTTTTTTTATTCCAGGTGCCTTCAAAGTTGCGTCAACGAGCAATTGGGGAAGTCCTGTTTTCAACCTAACCTTAGGTGCGATTTTATCTCACGAAAACAAAAAGGTTCCTTGCAAAAGTAAGGATTTTACCGTCGTCTGGGCACTTTTCTCTACCTCGTAAAACTTTTTGATTGAAAACAAAAAAATGAGTCGTGACACCACTATGACCGTCCTTATCTGAACACACTCTCCAACAAAACGGGGTAAAAACTATAGTGATGGGCGGACCTTTTGCCGAATCGAAAATTCAGCGCCGAATCTTGGGATTCCCGAATATTTTCCTAACTTTTCTAAAGATTCGGCAAAAATGCACTGTTGCCAGACCTAAAAGTTGATATATCTTTATTTTTCGTAAAAAGAACGTTTTTTATGCATATTCACGCAGTTATTACTAAATAAGGTGATGTTTTATTGATATTTTATAATATTGTTGTATTAGTGTCATTTTTGTGTGTTT